GATGCCAACCTTTATCAGAATTATTTCACCTCGCTTCTTACCATACGAAATTATTCTAGTCCTGCATTTTTTTCAGGATGTCCGGTCGATCCGCTTTTATTCTAATTACAGTTCTTACTCGCGTTTCGACTCTGATTTCAACGTTCTCATTACGAAGATTTCCTGAACGAAGTGGCTTCGCATGCGTGGAAATGCATTTAGACCACACATTTTGCAGAGTCCTAAATGAATACATCGTAGGGCCTCATTGTGTCTTCTAGTAAAGTCATGATATAACATTTTCTCACACTGCGTTGCTAGACGGCCCACCGTCTTCACACTTTGCCTACAATGTTGGCACATACCTTTCTCAGCTCCAAACATACATACTTCTCTCTTGGAGGTGACAGTATCACGCTTCATTCTGTGGGCTAATATTTCCAAATCGTAGCCACTTTCATGAATTTTGACATTGAGGCTAGCTCATTTCTGGGCATGTTGTATAGCTTTGCATGTTGGGTTTTCTTTTCTATTTCGCTTGAGTAATTAATAAAAATTATAATGTATATTTTTAATTTTACGAACTTCCATCATTTCTGGTTGCTGCTGGCAGTGCTTTACTTATATCATTTTCTATCCTTCTGATTGCACCACGAGATGATATTTCACATTCTAGATTCTGCGCTGCCTTTGCGATATTTTCATCTTCACGAATCAAGTCAGTATATCTAAAAAAATCATCTTTAAAACGTATGAATGCCATGTTGAATTCTAATTAAAAAAACTCATAATTGATATAAAGGATTTACTAAATGTGATAAAATCAAAATACCTTCGTCTTTCCCTTACAGTTATGTCTTGATTTCTGTATCCAAGGTATCCTTGTGTCACGAACGGTGCACCATCACCCCATAATTCTCGTCTATAATCACGCACTCGTGCATTGAAACGTGCCCCACGTGAAGCGAGTAAGAAAGTTTCTGGACCAATCTGAATTGCAACAATACCAATTTGTACTTGTTTATTTAGTAAACGGAAAAATTTAATAATTGAAAGCTTCTCGAAAATTAATTTATTTTTGGATTATTATAAGAATCTTCAAAATATATGGTAAAGTTGAATGTTTTTCTGAAATTAAAAAATACTACTGATTCAGATGAAAATTTCAGCAGTAATTATTATCTACGATGTGAAAAAGTACAAGTACATACAAAGTCAATTTAGTGAGTCAAATGAATTAGTATATTCAATGAGCAAAAACATTTAGAAATCATAATATAAGCAGTTTAAATTTAAGTCTAAATACTATTTTTACTTGAAACAACCAAATTAATTTTATTATTAGTTCTACAGCGTAAATTCAGGCTGGAATCCTTGATATGATAAAATTTTTCGTAACAGTTATAATAGTTATCAAAAGAAAAACGCTAGAAATTTAAGAAGTAATTTAAAATACATGAAGAGATAAATAAAGATTACTTGATATTGACTACGCCAAGGAAAGTCTTCGTCACTCGATTTCTTCTTAGAGAAGTCAGAATCCATCGTAGACGCGTCTTTTGGCCGTAATCGCTCCATTTCTTCACGCTGTAAATTCAATACCATTGCTTCAAATAAAATAATGCGAAGCTTTAATTCACAATATGAAGAATTTTGAAAAAAAACTTCTAAAAACAGAATAGCAGAATCTTTTGTTAATAATGGATTATACAGTTTCTTGTACATAATCTGGATACACTAAATAAATAAATTAAATTGAAATCATCAGTGATTTAATATAATGAAAGCAAATATTTCGGTAGCTTGCAAAAACCAGAAGTTTACTCACCTCTCGTCGTCTTTTTTCTTTCAACTCTTTGATTGAATTCATGAAACTGTCAAAATCATCAACATGTACTTTTTCTTTAGCTTTCAATGCCTCCGGCTCTTTTTCTGATGATTTTTCAGTTTCTTTAACTGTTTCTAACATCGGTTCTACCGTTCCCATCGTACCAACTTTAGTACCAATAACAACCTGAAGTTAGAATACTTAACATCAATGACTTCTCGCGGTAGATATTATGTAGTATCAGTTACAAACAGAAATAACTACTGTATGGAGTTACAACTTGAGACAAATACTGTTTAGGATTGAACAGATTAATTACTGCCTTCGCAAATGTACACAATTGTACAAAATCATTGTCCGATAAAATTCTCAATTATAATTATAAAGAAAAAAAAAAAAGCTTCCAAATATCAAGCTTACTTCCATTGAATATTCTTTTCCTGATGGAAACGAAATAAGACTTTTACTTCCAGGTAATGAATGATAGCTTGAACTTTCTACACTTGGCGAAACTTCTGAAAAATAAGAAAACTACTAAAATATCCAAAATATTTCTCCGTCTGTTTGATACCATTTCAAAAAAAAGTTACTAATTAAAGTTTAGACGAAATTAAACCTTCGAAATGCAAAGGATGGTGCTCGAGTCCTTCGAGAAATAATGGAGCTCCGACTGGTATATTTGGATCATAAGACTGTGCTGGAAGCCGGAACTGAAAGTTCAATAAAACCTTACACCCCATTACTTTTTTAGAAAGCAATTTGATGTGGAAACATTTTAAAATTTTAAAATCTGAGAACTTTATGATAATGGACCAGATGTTATGTTCAGAATTTTTTCCTACAACTATTTTTCCATTAAAATGTGACAAATGGGAAGCTGATACTCGCAAAATTGCTCTGAAAAATGGATGTTTTAACGACACTGAAATGTTAATTTGCTCTTTCAAAATTTAATAACCTCTGATTATTTTAAATTCTTTCAATGCCTAAAAAAGTCCTAAATTTTAGAATATTTGTACATTTATAGTCAGATGTCATATTCATTTATTCGCTGACAGATAATTACTTTTTCTGCATTATAAGGATGATCTGATGGTGGAGTAACGGTATCTTCTCTGGTACCAAATGGTGAGGGAGGTGGCGTAACGTCAGGTGAATAACCTTCCACCTGAGGTGTTGATGATTTGCTTCGACTTTTTTTCTGCCTGCTTTGTTTCTAGAATAAAATTATTAGATTAAAAGTTTTCTAAAGATACTTTAATTTTAATCATGCATACTTCAATTATATTTTATGATGGTCGGAATGATCTACTAAGTTGGATAACATAAATACAGCAAGTTAAACCGTTAATAACTAATTAGTTTTTGCTATCTATCAAAAATAAACAAAAAGTTTGTTTGGTAAAGACTGATATTAACAACTACTTATATAACACATTAAAAAATTAATTTTTTAAAGTAATATATAAGTTTTTGTGTAAGTTTTTTTCCAAGAATAAGAATCAAAAAGTAATCCTTCGTTTCTTTTTGGTTATCATATCTAAGTATGACCACCAAAAAATGAACAAATGATAGTTTGATAAGTTTCAACACCATTTTCAACTTTTTCTTCAGAATTTGAGTAAAAATTTACTACAGATTCTTATTTTGGAATAATTACCAATACATTACATTTATAAAACTGACTTTTGCGAGTAATATACAAGTATTATAAATAGTAAAAGTTATAAATCAGCAAGTGATTAGAAGAAATAATACACAAGTGATGGGTGGAAACTGATATGGTGGGAATATATTTGAGACAATGATTCCTAACAACAGTTAAAATATTTTCTCGAAATCACCTTCACGAGAAAGATTTATTAGTGTCAAATTTTGAAAATTCACTTAAGAAAAGATTTCGGATGAAATTTCCTGGATTTAAGCTGAACGAACATAACTTTGGTTTCAAACATTTTTGCATTATTTACTTTGAAGAAAGAACCAATTAATACTATCATTATAAGCAATATTTGTTGTATTGTCAACACTTTGCTATTTTTCAGAAATAATCAAAAATTTGTTCAAACAATGTTAAAAGTAAGTTTATTCCTTCAGCAATCTCTTTATTCAAATTTCATTTTTTTACAAATGTTTTTATCTGAAAAGCTTGCTAACATAATAAATCATTTTCCACAACTTTTAAATGATCATAATCTTTAAATTTTATTAGCTAACTTTTACAAGATTAAGCTTGTTTGCAAATGCTGTTTTTAGGATTGTGAGAATGTTGCAGAAGTTTGAAAACAAAAGTGATGGATCTTATGATTTCAGATTAATTCTAATTATTTTGATCTGATAGAATTAAATATTCTAAAAGTAACAATTATCTTACTTCAGAACTTTTAACTAGTGATTCTAGGTCTTCACGTGAAGTTAATGAACCAGCAATTGATGTTTCTTCAGAAATATCTGACAGAATCCGATTCGCAATTTCTTCTTCGATTTGTCGATGCTCCCCATGAACAAGTTTTACTGGTAACAACTGAAAATGTTACGATAGCACAATTCTATAAGTCTCGTCAAAATCAATTCTAAAATAGCATTATTCGCTGCACAGCACTTAAAATTATGGAGATGAAATTCAGTTTTTCACAGAAAAGGCAGTCATTATAAAATTTCCTTAAGTCATACTGTTACTAATACATATAGATTGATAAGACCCAACAAGAGATAAAGCAGCAGTAAGAATTTTTTTTAAAAACAGCATTACATGTTGGTCATTAAATACTATATATATATATATATAAAGAAACACAATTTTTTCGTAATTTATAGTTCCTATTCTTTTTTCTGTTCTACTTTATCTGTTATGGCGAAGTCATGATACGACTATAGAGGTAAATGGTGGAAATGGTAGTAATACGAGCGAACATTCTAGCATTCAAATAAATCAGTTATCTAAAGGCTGGGAACGAGTCTCTGAAGGAGATCATCCCAGGCGACTTCCAAGAAGCAAAAATATCCTGACTGTACGACCACACAAAAGTCCTTTTTGCTGTTGCCTTTTCTTCCGCTTTATTTATTCCAAGAAGTGACTTCGCCTTGTTGCAGTATTTCTAAGGGAACGACGAAAACAGAAGAAGGAAGAAAGCAAAGAACGATGACACGCATGGCGTGAACGAAGCAGAAGAAAAGATTGTTGCAAAAAGAAGTTGAAACATAAACCAAGGTTGTTGTGTAGTCGTACAGTTAGGATATCATAAGTCCGAGAAGGAAATGGAGGATGAACGGAGAAAACCGCATCTGGAATCATAGCAGAAAACAATGGAATAACAAATGAGGTTGTGAAAAGCTCCTTGAAGGATGTGAAAGAGCACTTGCCAGTGTACCGGAACTAGGAACAAGTTCGATGACTACTCGAAGCACTCATTCAAGGAGTCGAGGTTCCGCAGAGCAGCTGGCCAAGGTAAGTGCTATATATATATATACTTTATCAAAATAGTATAGAAAATATTAATTATAAGTTCTAAGTTTAGTCTGTACTTTTCAGTACTGACAAGTTCTGCCTCAATATCGACTTCTAGCAAATTACACGTTGAATTCCAGCTCATCGAACAGAAAAATTTGAGGACTGACTGACTACAAATACATATTAGACTTTTACAAAATTATTTCAGGTTGCTATTTTTTTTCAAATGATCGTTTCTTACTACAATTTTTAAAAACCAGTAAGACCTTTTGTTATTGAAAAATTTTTACTTCATCTTCGAGAAAATCTGTAGAAATGTGCAATTGTTTGTGTGGCGACTGCTGAAACGGTGCTTCACCCTTATCCTGAGGAAGCAATCTTCGTCTCTGCTGATCTTCACGCAAATCATTAAGTGAAGTAGTAACACGATCTTTTATCCGTAAATAATCATAAATGTCATGTGGTTCAATGCGGGCGAGGCCTTGAACTGCATTTGGTAGTGCTGAACCAGCTACATTCACGTCAGGTGCCTAAAAAATTTGAAATTTATCTCTAAATTCATCTGATCCTAATCTCTTTTCAGCAAATGGACGATTATTTTTAAAGCTTTTACTTTCTTCTTACCAGTAATACACAATCCTAATCCAAACAATCATAACAAAGTTTAACTCATGATGTGTACAGAATGAAATGGATTCAAATTTCGCATATTTGTTTTCAAGAAATGCTCCATTTCTTCAATTACAATGAAAACAATGCTGCTTTAAACAGACGAAAAATTGAAACTTCTAAAAAGCATTCGTTCCCATAGATTTGAATAAAATACTACTTTATCATTGAAAATTACAAATAATGACCTTGAATAATAAAGTAAAGATATTAGTTTGGTTTAAAAGTACTGGTCCTTGCTTCACGTTCACTTGTAATAGATTATGCAATAGATTTTATTTATGAACCAATTCATTATTTATCTCTTGTTCGAATTAAAACAGATGTTTAATGATCAATGTTAGCGAATGTATTCCTAGATTCGGTTTGTTTTTTAAATTTAGAAAACGAAGTCAAAAGATAACCTGCAGTGTACTCATCAAAGGCTCAGTTGGAGTTTGCTGTACAAATACACGTCTTTCCTGAAATTATTGCCCCTCAAAACAACGTAATCGTTTATAAATTAAAATTAAAATTTATTTGTTCTGTGGAAAGATAATAACGTAAATAAATTAGCACGGAGATAATGACTGATAAATAAAAGTTAGAGCAACTATATGTTTATATTTGAAAAGTCTAATTTATCAGTTATCAGATGGACACTCTGTAAATATTTCATATAAGTTTATGCAGTTTGTTACTATTTAAGAAGTGCTATGATTGTTATATAAACAGAAACGTTGCAAATATTTTAGAGTAGTGAATAAAGAAATGTCACAGTTTTTCAGTTATATTCGAAGCTTACCAGCCATTTATGTTTATATTTGAATTCCCGCAAACTTTCTGATGTTAATTGAGCACTTTCAAGAAATTGTTCTGAAAGCCATGGATGGCTTAATGCTTCATCAACATTCAGTCGACTTCTGTAAAGTATAAATTTTAATATTACAGAAATCTGGACTTTAAAGTTACTTGAAAGGCATACTGTAATTAAATAATTAAGACTTTGTATGAAATGGTTATCATATGATATTAGTCTGCTGCATAGTTCAGTTATCATCATTCTTCATTTCAAATTAGTTAAGATTTGTGATTAGATCATAACTGATCTAAATAATGATTTAAATTACATATTACAGCAAATCAATACATAGATTACTTTGGATCAATAACAAGAAGTTTCGAGACAAAATCTTTGGCTTCATCGGATATTGAAGCAAATTCTTCAATATTAAGCACGAAATTGCCTAGCATAACATTGCGGATTGTTTCCGTGTCGTTATCACCAAGAAATGGTGAAATTCCTGATAATCTGAACATGTTATCAATAAAATTCTTGCAAGTGAATAAAAATCATAGCTGTTAAGGACTTTTATTGCATGTATTTCTTGTTTTAAAGGCCTCTTATTACAGAGTCACATTACAAACACATTTATTCCTGAGTGTAACTCATTTTTTCTGCTCGTTTCGATTAATATTATTGCGTCCGTGAATTTCTTTCATTTGTGGCCTCTCGTAATATTCACTTCCAATTTAGGCAACCACATGAATTTTTGTCTGACTTATTCGACAGAAAAAATATTGAAAATATAATCAATTGTAACTTACAGAACATAAGTAAGAGTACCAACACTCCATAAATCTGACGCAAGTGTCACTGGAATACCGCTAGCAATTTCAGGCGAAACAAATTCAGGACTTCCCGTTATATTTGCAATTACTTTGCCTCGTATTAACCGCCTAAAAATTCAATAATATAACTTGTGATATACTCTAATTTTAAGAACATTGACTTAGAATTTTTATCTCATTACTTACAGCTGCAACTTACAGATCAGAATAATAGCAACACTATGCAAATTCGACACAAATGCTCATTCTTGATAATAAAGTCAACATTTAAGTGTGCATAATTAGAAAGAGAATTAAATAAAGAAAAGCTAATTAAGTCAAATACTGCAATTCAAAAAAACCAGTGAAACATGTAAAAAATAGCAACACTGGAGAACAATATTTGCATATTGTTCTCCAGTGTTGCTATTACGTTTCTCTACTCAAATTTTGCAATGCGCTAATATTGTTAGAATAAAACTTAAAATTATTATTAGAAATTGTAATGATATCGATATAAGTGATGGACGAGGTGAAGGTGAAGATATCATTCATATCAAAAAATAATATTTTTTGACAAGTTAATTAATTCTTTGTGCAGGAACATTATTTCCAGAACGATTATGACTTTGAACTTATCACGAACGAAATGGAACTGATATTTTGATATCTATTACTGCAATTATCGAAAACTTAAATATTAATGCATTCTAAATCCAGAAATTCTGGACTACAAACTCAATTAAGTTATTTCACATATAAAATTCCTGAATTATAAAGATCACAATTTGCAATATTCTTACTCATTTCTAATAATATTTACAATAATTCATTTTTTGGTAAAGTATAATGGCCCACTAATGAATGAAAAGATATAATATATCCATTAAAAAATTTTAAGAGGTGAAAAATAAAGAAACGGAAAGTATACTAATGATAATTATAATTATAGTAATAATTATAGGAATTATATTGCTGTATTGTAAAATTATAAACACTAACAAATAATCTGCAATAGTGATCATCACATCATTAGTGTAAATACCATAGCAAAATGATAAGTAAAAGATTGAAGCTTACCTGCTTTGTCCAAAATCAGCCAGGCGAAGATGATCATCTTGAAGCAGAATCACCTCAGGTCTAATATCCAAATGAGCAATTTTCCTGTCATGCATACATTTCAAAGCAGATAACAATTGCTTAACGAATATTTTCACTTGCTTTTCAGCGGGAACTTGACTAGATTTCGCTGCAGGACTTGCGATCAGCGAATCCAGTAGCGAACGATTCGCACTTAAATTCAGTAGTTTCAATGGTAATGAAGCCATTTCTGATAGATAATATGAATGCTACTGGTATATGTTATCTAGTTACCAGCAGCATAAATTCGTTACTTTATTTTGAAGTAACTTTTAATGTAAGTGATTCAAATGCCAACTTAAGTCAACAGTTTGCTCATTAAGACAAATTGCAATCAGACTTCAAATCATATCAGTCAATTTATAGCAAGCAAAAGAATCACATTCAGAAGAGTCATTTTTAATTGCAGTTGAATTTAATGCATCATAATTGTTCTATAAAATTAATAGATTTATGAAGGAATTCAGGTACTATAATCTGTTCATCAAAGTAATATGAAAACAACCATAAACTGCTTTTTAAATCGATAAAATAATAGCAGATTATGATAATAAATGGTCTAATTATGATTATAAAGCAAGAGAAGGTGATAGTTTATCAAATTTTCACTTTGATGAAAGAATAAATAATAATGACAATTGAAACACAGTATTGAATGAAAGTTTCGGAATGGATGAACATTGGATTATTTTGAAGCGCAATATCAGAGGTGAAATTCAGGGAAATATTCTATCAGTAACTTGAATGATTAGAAAATTTCATAGCGATTTTCGATTGCATTCAAACATATTTTGCATACTCTGAAGGATGAAATGTCTCCTCAAATTGAGCATATTCGATGACAGAATTTGCAAACAAAAATTGTGCTAAATTTTGTTCAGTTAAGCAAGCGAATATGTATTTAAATAGCGATAAGATCAGCTATACTTGTAGCAGTTTTGTCAACTTTTTTTAAACAAACTTTTCACTAAGTAGAAAAAGTAAAGTAAACTATCATTTGAATTGTGGCTAAATTCTGAAAATAAATTTTAGAACATAAAAAATTGTAGTGCGAATTTGGTGACTGATTGACTTGAATTAATTTACTTCTGTCGCATTCAGTTTCTCAATGTTTGAGTAATCATTTGGAAAAATTATTTTACTTAATTAAATTTTAATTTCTGGAAAATAAAAAAAAATTAAATTAAAAAAAACTGATAAAAAATCATTAATATACCTTAAACTTTTCAGACCTATTATTTTGAAAATTAACAAATAAATAATCAGTTATTGCATCTCTAATTCATATACTGTATAGTTAGAAAAAAGCTTGACTTAAATTAATGCCAATATGATAAAACCACCTGTTATTTTATTGTAATTGAAAACTCCCACATTATATTCAGACGGAACTTTCTATTTTGAAAATAGAAAATGAAAAAATCAAGTAAACAAAAAATCAATAAATTAAATTTTAAATATATGCTTTTAATTATAATAAAAAGTAAACAAGTAAAATTGTTACCAGATGCATTCTCCAACCATTGCAAAGTCTGAAGAAATGTTTAGTCTGGGACAAGTAATTACAAGTATTGTTTACGCAGCACCACAAATATTAGCTTTTAGTAGCTGATAATTCATTCGAGTAAACGATTTTTAGTCATTAATTCTCAGCTATTCTTCACAGTGGGGATGTCTATACAGAAATTTAATATTGGTAGCAGTCAACAATTTGCAATATAATATTGGCTAAAAATTGCAAGAAAAGTGGAAAATACAGAGAAGGATATCCTAAATCTTAAGTAGCACTAAAGAAGATTATAATGAAAAACAGGAAGATAATACTTGGAGTGAGAAGAATGATTGTTTTTAGATGGTTGGAAGCTTTCTCGTGCTTCTCTTTATCATTTCATACTTTAACAATCAAGATTAGAACAAGTGTTCATTGTAAAAGTAATAATAATAATAATAATAGTCAAAGAAGTCACATAGTTATTATCAGTAATTAATAATAATAACCATTTTTGATTCTAAATATTTTATCTTTATTGTTATCAATAGAATATTTTAAAATCGTATAGAAAATATAAATTAAGAGATTATGTTTTTAAAACGCTATAGAATACTTTGTTAGCATCAACAATTTTAAATAATTGTGATAGCGCATTTGCAATGCAGTTGCATGTATTACGTATATATACGCAAATTTCTGATCATTACTTTTGCATAATAGTCTTTTTAATTTAGCTTAAAATTTTCAACTGCTTCCCAAAAAATAACAGTTCCCATTGTGTATGAAATTACTTTTTATGCAAAATTGTGTTGTATTTGGTTCGAACTAAAACTAAACTACTCAAGTCAAGCAAAGGAGCTACTTGTGCTTATTAACTCATTCACAGCTTTTTAAAGTTTAACAACAGCTGACCTACAGGAATACAAAATCAAAAGAATAATAATATTATTATTATAACAAAGTAATTTGACGTATACATACATATATGGCATTCTTTTGTATATATGGAATCTCGGAATTTAACTATTAATAAGTAAAATAATGCGAATGAATAATTGGAATGCTGCATTATGACCACGTTCAACTGCATCATATTCACTTACTGCAACTCGTAATCTTTTTATTTTATTTATTTCTTCGAATTTGTCTTGCATATTTCAGTATTTCAGTAATGAAATATTATTACAGCATTACAACCACTGCAATAACGGAAATCCATACAAAAAGTCAAAAACCAAAATTTTATTTTCAAAATTCATTTAGAAAGAAATCGTTTCGTACTAATTTATAAAATCAGTTTTTAAAGCCCATTAAATTTTCGCTATGCGTCAAACTTGCGTCTTTTAGTTTTTTTTCTGCCCGGGAAAATTTGACTTTTGTTGAATGAAAGTTTATTTTATTTGTTCATATTATCTAATTCTTACGAGATTGACCAAACTGACCAGTTGCATTTTCATTAGCAGCACCACATTAAAATATGAAATTTAATCGCTTGAATCAGCTTTTAGTCAGGAAGTGATATTTTTATTAGCATTTAAACATAAATATGCACATACTCATATATATAAATATATCCGCATGCTCATAGATACACCCACACACATCTGTGCATATTGAAGAAGAGATTTTTCAGCATATCGCTGAAAATTATACTAACAATAAATGCTTATTTTCAAGTCAGTTTCTCTGACCCTAAGTGTGAAACTGCGATTAGATAATGACCAACTCTATCATTTGTTCCTGACAAACACAACATTCACGGCTAACTCTTCAGACTTTAATCCTCAAAATATCATTAATTTACTATTTCTGCTCACCCAATTGCAATAAACAACAGTTACAAAGTAGCAGTATAGATTTCACGAGTTCATGAGTATTAAGCAATCCTTCTGATGTAGTCCACTGATGATCGTAGTGAATTATTTATTCTCAAAGATAGAGCAATTCAGCCTAATTCTCTTCCTTCCCATTTGTCTACCACAAGAAATATCATTTATATTAAGTTTGATCAACTTCAACAACTCATTCTGATAATTTCTTTAGAATAGCTTTTTATTTTACTCTTCAAAGCTATTGAAAATTTGTATATAATTTTGTCTAATCACTTTTATTGCATATTATATGAGATAAACAAAAATGAATCTATGCGAATAGATTATTCTTTGTGGAATATTTTATGTACAGTAAGTACTGTTTGTGAAATGAACTGTTCAATAAGACAGACGATAAATTCTCACCAAATCTTTACTGTCACTATCACTTTTTTGAGTATTATTAAACAAGTTTTAGCTTTTTATGAATATTGTAGAATTTAACTGAGTAATTCTGTAAATAGTGCAAAGTGGAGAGAAGACATTTTGCACAAAAAAATCTGACAAAGTTTGTCTTCTTTTCATTTAGCAAATAATAAATTTTGCTGGAAGGAATAAATACAAAATTGACTTTTAACTCAATCAGACTTTGAATAGCCTTTCTCACTGACGTTAAAGCATATTTGCTTTTGCTGTCTTGCCAATCAAAAAATTGACCTGAGAATGAAATTTTAATTTTTTAAAGCTATTTTTTGATTTAAAATATTTGATTTACAAAAATTCTTCATTTAATTACATCTAATCAAAATTATCTTCATTTTAAGTTTAAATTATTTGAGAACAAAAGGACTTTTGGTTTTCGACTTACTTGACGAATGCTAAAAAATGCATAATGATAGTATCATTATCTCTCATTTTTAATTTTAAATTAAAAAAGACCTATATTTGATATTATATTAATTTTTTGGATCATTATGATACATTAACCTTTCTTATTTATTACATGTTCTAATGCATATGTTTATCTTTACACCAATGAAAAACTGTTTCTGGCAAATTGGAGAACAAACTTTAAAAAAGATTCAGAATTTTAACTAATTGTTAAGTGATTACTATGTTTTTTAAACGATTAGTTTAATCACGAAACGTCTTATATTTTGAGAAAACTTTTTCTATTAACCATATGAAATATTACTTTTCATAAACGAGTACTGCAATGCCTTGATCCATTACAGTTTGATGAAGCTGTATAATATTGGGATGATCTAATCTGTTATGCATTTCAATATTTCGAGCCAAGTTCTCATCCAAAGAACGTAATTGGGCAAGGTATCGTTTACCGGTAGCACGCTCGGTAACGTGAAATGGTGCCCCGGCAGCTGCTGCCCTGTAAAATACAGAAAACGGTAAGCAAGACCTTATTTTTCTACAAGTATTTTTGAATAAACTTCATCAGTGCCATTGAACTTCTTGAATAAGAATAAATTTTTGAAAAAATATTCTTAAATGTTAAAAAAACTAAAAATTTAAGCGAGTTCTCATGAATAAAAATTCAGTGCAGCTCTCTCTTTCTTTAATGAAACTATATTACTCTAAAATATTGTGCTAGACAATCTACTCAATAAAAGAATACTTTGAAAGTATACAAATAAACAAATTTGCATATTTTCATTACAACGAAGTTACTATTTCTCAAAAATTGAAGCTGCGAGTTTTCACTTCATTCCGACACTATTTCATTACTGTTTCGAGAAAATGTTTGTGTGTGCTAAAGTCTTGCATAGCTTTCTGTATTTTAACAGTGGCAGCAGCAAAAAAGTATTCAATTGACTTTCTTTTAATTTCGTTGAGAAAATTTATAAAAATTATTTTTTTGTATCAAAAATCGTTTAAATATTTTTTTGCCGCTTTTTTAAACCCAGTTATAATTCACTAATGGGAAGTTAGCAGTAAAGGAGCACAAAAATCTGAGTTATTTGTTATAAATTTCTTTGATAGTAGTCAGAATAGATCGTAGTATACCACCGATAAAAACGTATAGTATATCACCTCCATCATCAAATTAGCTCCTCCAAACTAGCTGAAATTTAGGCTTACTGAAACTCAGCAACCAAAAAAAGGTATTTTGAAAAAATTCAGAAGCAGAAAGCTATAACAACAGCCATAATCAGGCATGAGTATGACTCTTCAAGCACACAAAACACACTTTTTGATTGTATCAACAATCAAAAAATTATGACTTGAAACAATAAAGAAATTATGTGAGAAGTGAAAATAAAAGTTTCAATTTTTCAAGTTTAATTTATTTGCAGCAATTTTTTACTTTCGTAGTAATACAGTGCAAAATACTGTCAGAAATGAAAGCAACGCAGCATTATTTCAATAATTTTTACTGTTTTTAGAATTTCAGAATTATTCCATTTAAAATTTTATCTCAAAATTACATCACTGAAAATTATAACAATAATAATAATATCATTATTATTGCTACACAATTTCTTTAGACTTAGATACTGCGTTACTTTTACTTGTCTAATAGTATGCATTAAATTAAATGATCCAATCACAAAATTTTGATGCTGAAATTATAATAATTAATTTAATGGATATAAGTTTGGCTTAACTCAACCAAACAGTTACATAACTTTAACTTAGTCAAACATAATGAAGTACAATGCACATATAGTGGCAAAAATTTATGCTTTTTTTCTAAATCAAACATTTAATGAAAGTACGCATTGCAAATATTTTTAGCCGTGTTAACTAATCTGATATTTATCAGATCAGATTAGAAATGAATAACTTTGAGGAAATTGTCTAGCTGATGTCTTATTTAGTAATTCTGAGATTTTGTTGATTTAAAATTAGCAACTTAAAGTTTTTAATTTCCATGAGTGAAATGATAAAAAGGAAGAGAGAGCGGCCTGATATTCATATCGAATCCGTTATATTTCATACTTTTCATCGTTTTCATCAATTTCATAAATTTCCCGAACTTTGCGAGCTTCCAGAACTACTCGAGTTTTTCTCCTGTGAATCTCATGATTCTCATTGAGATCTTCGTCAGCTGAAATTCGCATTGAAATGTCAGCATGTAAAACACGATTTAAAATACTTTTAAAAAGTGAAAAGATCAAAAGTATTGGAAAAACTCAGAAAAGGAAATTGCGTGTAGTATTCAAAGTGACAGTGACAGATATTGACTACCAGTAATACATAGTCTGATAAGTTGCGAGCTTCAGTAACACGCAAATATGAAGTTAAAAAATTAATTTACGGACAACTTAAAATGGAAATGAAAGAGCTCTTTGTAGTAAATTTATGTGATACTGAATTCTAATTATTAATCCAAACATGTAAATGTCATAGTGCATAAATCAAAAAAAGTTGAAAAAGATGATAACAAAATTTGGGACTTTGCTTTCCAATGAAATGAATAATAATATCAAGCAGTGCTACAGAAAAACTTTTGCACTGTAACTACTCTTTGGACTAATTATTGTCTTGGCGTATCTCTCCAAGCGTGATATACGACAAGCAAATAAAACTTAGATCAATTTATTGCTCAAAAATACTAAATGACGAAGCGAAAACACGAATTATAAACGTGTTCATGAAACTTTTTGTTGGCACATCTTTTGTAGGGAAGTTTAATACCTAAATGTGGTAACAACTGTTGTCGACTAGTACTATAAAAGCTTCGTACTTGAAACTGCAGTGAGCATACATTTAAAATAATACTAGAAACCAATGAAGCAACTATCTGGATAAATAGCCTGATTTTCATAAATCACAGTGTTGAAAATACACATCCTACACTAGAACGATAAGAATTTACTAACAAGTGTATACACTTCATTAAGATTTATTGTTAATCACGTTTTTGATTTCTAGAAATATTCATACCGACATTAAACGTGTTTCAAATTTACAGGGACTCCTAATAATTCTACACTTTTTTGCTGACGTAACAACTTCAAAACCGTTAAATTAGGGTCGATCAAATATGACGGCCATTTCTGGCAAACTAAATAAAAATAAAAAAGCAAAGAAAGTCAACTGAATGTCAGTAACAATTAAATTCTATCAGTTTTCACAAACTAGATACTTGCTGTAAATGACAACACTGAGCTCATAAAAATATAAACAATCTCAAAAAACACCTCACACCTCAATTAATGCAGTAGCTATCAATTTTGGTAATGTTCAAAAGTAGATTTAAAATTAAAATTTCCATAACTGCAGATCGTCCATTATTGACGAGAAAACATGACTTTATTTGGTCTTGAAATCTTGTATTTTGATTTTTTATTACAGCGCACAGCAATCGAGAATTGTCATGTTTAATATTATAACGATGCATATAAGCAGTGATATCTCGACTGTATTTTCACGGTTATATTCCTAAGATATGGAATGCAACGTGCCCATTTGTGTTATGCCGGTTTCTACATGTCTGATTGAATTATAAAAATTACATTTATTATGTTTTCAATCTAAGTCAAGCTTTTTGATAGCAGCAATTTTGCAGTTCTGGGTAATATTTATGCAATTAGTACATAGTACTTTACACTAGTAAGGCGATAAAAATCCTATAGCAGCATTGCGAAGCAAGTAATTTGATATTACTAGAAGAGCAATAATGATAATAATATTGATAATAGAGATTTCAACCTTCAACGGTAACTGAACATGAAGTTGTTGCGGTGCCAGCATCATTAACAGCCATTACCGAGTAGATTCCACTATCACGCCACAGCGGGTCATTGATAATCAATGAACATAAACAAGGTCCCTCACGGATAAAACTTACACGTGACGATTCTACCAACGGCCTCCATTCCTAGAATTTACTCATAATGATTGCTTAAATTAACGTGTGAAAATATGAAATTGAGGTATTTACAACAATGAATGCGTAGGCAGGAAAGATGACAGAAAATAATAATATAATACTATAAAAATTACTTTTCCAAGTATGCAAAGTACGATGATTTTATAGAAACGTAAAAAAATTTAAGTTGTATGCAAAATATATATTTATCTTCAAACTAGCCTTCATCCATTTAACATCGGGATATGGACTGCCCTCAACACGTACGTCCAATCTGAGAGGTCTACCGCTAGGCACTACTTTGTTAGCCAAGGGTTGCGTGAATCTTGGCCTTGCTAGAAATGTATTTCATAAATAATGATGTGGGGAAATTGATTTTCTCCAGTAGGAAAAATTTCTTAACGGAATAGAAACAAAGAAAATTATTATCCTATCAAGGTCATTATGGTCCAAATCGATAACTGTACGAAAACTCTGAATATACTGAGTATTCACCTCCAAGATCAACATGGATGTTCTGTTGAGCTTCACCATATTTATTTAAGGCGAAACATTGGTACTGTCCAACATTATCTTTAGTAAATCCGATTATTGTGAGAGTTGTTTCTGAACCACCATGAGTTACCACACGTGCCCTTGATCAATATACAACATTAGCATGACAATTTGAAAAAAATACTTATTTTGCACTTTTTGAGTTCATTTACTTGAAAATATTTGCGCAAAGGACACATTCAAAGTTCAGTTTGCAAGAATAAAAACAAACTTGGATGTCGGACTTATGTCAAGATCCATTCCGCGAAATTTCCAGACTACTTTTGGATCAGGATATCCAGACACACATAATGTTATCGATAAGGTATCATTTTCTGCACAAAATCGTCTTTCTTCAACACCAGGAGCAAACCATGGTGCGCAAGCTGTAATGTGAAACCACAAGATTTTCATTATAAAAGTGTTTCTTGCAGACTCGATACTCATAATCTGCGTAATATTAGCCATTTTTATAATCTCTGACATATTTTGCACAAATTTCAACATATATGTTAATAAAGTCACGATTATTCACCAAAAGTATGGTGCCAATTCAGTTATTAATCATAATATAGAAAAACAAAATAAATGGCGGAAGTACCGTATTGTTCGGCATGAGCTTGATCAAGTGCTCGTTCCGTGTACGGATCTAACAAAGGAATAATTCGCTTATCCTTGTCTAAAACTGGTTGAGGAGGTGCCATTAGTCTTGATGGAGGCGAAGCAGGTGATGGATCACTAATTCCATATATATTTTCAGCACGAACTCGGAACTGATAACTTTTGCCAAGTTCTAAATTGCGTACTTTGCACACTGGTTCTGGAATATTGTAGTCCAGCTGAAATATGTATATTAATCATTCATATGTGTATTAATCACTACTTGAATTTTTATACCTCATATTTTTAGTCTTAATAAGCATCAATCAATAGGTTAAAACTTTTTTCTAGCGTTGTTCACTCTCCACAGTGATTATGGCTTTATAATTAGTACTAATCAAAAATCTCAATAATTAGATATCGTCAAACTATCCAATATAGACATTTATCATTTTCAATGCACTGAAAAATCTTGCTTATAAAATTTATAATAATCTCTTTTTCATTAACTGTTTGAATGAATCAAGAAAGAATTTCTTACGAGGATCCAATCCTTTTCAGGTAATTCTCGTATTTCCACAACGTAAGTTACTTGTGGATAACGTGGTGGAGCCCTTTTAGTTGGGATCCATGAAAGGGTTAAGTAATGTCCCGTTACTTCTTTAATAAATGGACCACGATCCGGTGGTGTTGGAATACCTATATTCAATGTTAATTTAAAATATGTAAATTTTACCAAAAATGAAATTAAAAACTAAAGTTTTAAATTCGTACTCTGGTAAGCAGTTTTCTTAAATCCATATTCTTCAGTTAAATATGATGTAACATCCATCGAACCATCAAATTTGATCGAGTCCAAATGAGGTACTGCAGACAGAAAGCGTAAAAATTAACTGTGATAGCATATTAAAACTTCAAACATTTTTCATTAAAATTATTATCGGATATTTGTAGATAAAAGGTCATTTTCATAAAAAATATGTCGAATATATGAGTATTCGAGAACAATATTCAATAATTTGAAATTAGCTTCCGATGACAAACAGACGTTTAAATTTTTTTCTTACTTTATTGAGGTTTAATTTTCAATAGAAATACCAACTTGTAACATCTAATACGGCACTACTAGAAGCCTGCCCTTGAGAATTCCTGGCAATAGCAACATATTCTCCAGCATCTTCTGTATGAGCATCCATAATAATTAGAGCATGCGATCCACCACGACATGACTGTATACGTATTCGACCACCAGGATGTAACTTTTTGCCATTGTGATACCAGTTAACCTAAATGGAAACTTAAATACTATGATAGATCAGCGCTAGAATCTATTTACATACTCAATCCTATTAAAACTTAATTGAAAATGATCACAAAATACCTCCGGTGAAGGATTGCCAATCACAAGACAGTCAAACACAACTGGCATATGAGAAAAAACATGTTTATTTTTAAGCTGCCGAATAAATCCTGGAGGGTATGGCAGATCACCCCTAAAGTATTATATTTTTAAAACAAATCACTTTTATAAAAATGGCGACATTTGATAATTTAAAATATCTGTCTTCAATTTGTTTTAAACAATGACTTATACTTTTTGTGCATTATTTTATTATCTATTAAATTATACTTCCCATTGTTAGCTAAGACTTTAATTTTTGCTTACTCTATATGTATCGCGCTATAAATGAATTAAGTTACTAACTTTGCAAGATGATCAGTGATTCCCGGCACTTCTCGTGGTTTAATAATTGTAATAGCACCTTCTGTTCGAGCGGTTCCAAGTTTATTGCTGGCCTCCAATGCATATTCTGCTTCATCTTCAGGTGAGGCATTAAGGATCACACAGTGATGAATACCTCGGTCATCAGTCCATACGATCAGTGGATCATCCGGTCCAATGACTTTTATTTCTTGATTATTTTTAAACCATTTCACAGTTGGAGTTGGCCAACCCGATGTACACACCTGCATTTCGATACTGCTACCCTGAAATTCACCTACTTGATTCAAATTGCAGTAGAATATTTGAAACTAGCAAACACGACTTTGATTTGATCACCTCAAAATAAAAGATATGCATACTTTATTTCGAATGACCATAAAAACCCGGGATTTCATGAAAAAATTTTTAACCAACTCAAACTTGCTTCTATTTAGATTAAAAATTTTTTAAATAGTTCTATAAAATGAAGAATAATAAGCAAAATTCAACCTGATGTACGCTGATATTGTTGAGGCCCCGACGGATACGAGGCTTACTTTCCACTACATCAGTGTCAAAAAGTTCCTTCATTTTTTTGGTTGGTAAAGTCCTATCACCTAAAGTGATCAGTTTTTAAATAATTAAGTGGTGATATCGTCCTGAAAATATTATCACTACCTATTTGAAAATTAAATATGCAGTCTCATTGAAAAATTTTTGAAAACTGAAGTCCTTGAAAATCATAAATTTTTGCCCTCGTAAAAAAATTGTAAATTTTAACCTTCAAAAACAACTTCAGCTTTTGTAGACACGGTACCATATTCATTTGTTGCTACACATCGATACAATCCTTCAACAGAAAAGTCTACATCTTGTAGAATCAAGCGTTGTGTTTTATCATCCAAACTTTCGATCTAAATAATTCCATGACTTTGATTATTGTTATGTGTGCAAAATATAAAGCTTTTGACAATATTAATCCCGGTAATTTTGCAGTTTAATTTGAGTGCTATTATTTATTCTATCCAGAATAAAATTACTTCTAGTCCTCAATTATTTATCAGTCACATTATTATTACCTTAATTTTGTTAAGTGTTTCAATTTCAATTCCATCTTTGAGCCATTTGATGTCTGGGAACGGTTTTCCATATGGAACGCATTCCAGAATAACAGTCTCACCCTGTTTAGCTCGTTTCATAGTAAGTGGTACTGAGAAACCAGGTGCGTTACTTTGACGTATTTCGTCTTCAAAGTTCCGCTGTGATTTCTTTTCTTTTACTGTAAATATTCATAACGTTAAATATGTAACAAGCAATAATTACATGATTTATCAATCTGATAGTAAGTGGTACTGAGAAACCAGGTGCGTTACTTCTGACAGTTGATTGATAACGTATGTTATGCTTTTCATCTTTAAAGCCTTAAAGTCTCAATTTGCTAAACACATTGCATAAACTATCCACTGACCATTCATATTTTTCAAAAGGCAAATAATCGAATTTAAAATTACTTCTATTTTCATTACTGAAGTCAAAATTACTCACTTTGGATGGTAACTTCACATGTAGTTCTGGCAGTTCCATAAATATTCTCGGCAACACATCGATAACCACCGCTGTCGAATCGAGTAGCATTTTTTACAATTAACTCAGAGCTGCCATCATCGTTTTCATGCTGAAAAACAATTCATTTTTTAATTTTATTCCCAGCAAAAACTGCAATTTTATTTTGACCTCACTCTCAACTTCGGAACGTAGCAATTTTGACGGAATATACGAATGGTTTCGCAAAATAAAAGTCTCAGCTTACCAAAGTACACCGATCATAAGAATACACACGTTCTCCATTTTTGAACCATTTAATAGATGGACGTGGATCACCGCTAAATTTGCATTTCAGCACATATTCATTACCTTCCATAACTTTCATGCTTTCAAGAGGTATGACAACACGTGGTGCACGATATCCATCAAATACAGGACTAAAAACATAAAAACTGAGAATCAGTCCAAATTTCTTATTCAAAGTTATAAAATAATATACATATAAGTTGCAATGCCATAGAGCAACGAACGAAAGCTTATATATGAATTTGGAATCTTATTCAATAAGGTATGAAAAGGTAGGAGATGAAAGATTTTTTCAGGCCTATTAATTTTAAATTATTTTTGATTTACTGATTTTCAACTCAGTTATGTCTACTAGAAAGAAAAGATAAAATTACTGTGAAAAATACTGACCCATTCATGAAGTCTTCGTTTACTTCTTCTGGCAGTTTTTTAACAACAGCACTGGCCTTGCTGTGAGCTGAACCAGATGGATTAGTAGCTATTACTCGGTACAAACCTTAAATTATCTTATAATCTTGACCGACCAGATAAACAAATTCATTAAATGTTGTCGATAAATAAATGTAACATCGAATCTTAACTGCAAGTATTTCAAAATTTTGCTTTTTAAAAGTATACCTTCATCACTTAATGAACAAGGATAAATGTGAAGCCTCGCTCTTCCATTCGAATCACTTTCAATATTTATCCGATCATTAGAATTGATTCGTTCACCATCCTTGTACCATGCAAGATCAGTCAATGGGGCACCTTTTATTTTGCATTCAAATTTCAGTAACTGACCTGAAAATATGCTCTATTCAAAATATATGATTCAATTAAATGATCTAAAACTTTTTGAATTATTCTTCGAAAAATTAATACTGATAATTAGAAGATCTAAATGAAATCATTAAAAAGTATTATTAACCTTCGACAGCACGTGCATCACTTAAGGAAATGGTGAAACATGGTGGTTCACTGGAAGATGACAAGTAACTATATGCTGTGCTATCTGAAATATCCCTGGTTTTTTATAATTATAATTGATCAATTTTTGGAATATATTTTAAAATTTAATTTTCAGCATTTGTCTACAGAAAATGCCATTTCTAACAGGTTTTATTTTTGAGATAAAAATGAATAAAATAGCAATGAAATTAGTAAGGAAAAAGGATGAACAAGTGCTTGAAGATAAATAAATAAAATCAAAAATTACTAGTACCGCTGATTCTAACAAATGATTTGGTTGTTGCAGAACCAGCTGTGTTGCTTGCAACACATCGGTAAACACCCTCGTCGTGAACGTTTGTATCGATGATCTGAACTTTCGTTTTTAAATTTATCCATAACTTTTATGAAAAGTGACAATCATCTATTTATAATAACAGAGATATACACTGGACATTTTTCAAATCACACAAGTTGTTGCAGCTTCTATATTGATACATCGCAATTTTTGCTTCTCAAAAATAAATAAGTGAGAATACTTTACCCTTAGTCGATAAGTACCGGTTGTCGCATCAGTATGCCACTCATGACGTGAATCATCTCTTATTGCCATACCATCTTTGGACCTGAATTAATAACCTCTATAAAATTAAAATGAGAACAGCTCGAATTTTGCATTAAACAATGGTGAAATTTGACACGTAGTTACTTTTTATCCACGGTAAAAGCTTTCATAGTTATAAGTTTATGAAAGTTGCATATTTGAATGATTGCTAATGTTATTATTGTCAAATATCAATCATACTATACTGGTATAAATTTTAATTCAAGAATACATCTGAAAAACGATATTTCCTTCCATTTTCATTCTTGAATGTTGACTTATACAAAATAAAAGACAGAATTATGGTAACTTTATGCATTTACCGAAACTCTAAGTTTGAAGATTTTTGTTAGAAATTCGAAAATATAGCACTTACCACTTAACAGTTGGTGCTGGTTCACCAACAACTTTGCATTCTAAATCAATTACAGAACCAACGTAAACAGTCATATCCTGCAGCGGATTAATGAATCGTGGAGCTGCTCCTTGCATCACTTTTTTTTCCACTTTTTCGAATGGTTCTAAAAGTAAGAAGAAAATAAAAATTACTTTAAAGCTCCCAGAACTGATGAATGTTGAAAACCAAGTTTGCTTTAAAAAAATTTTCACTAAATTTTGAATAAAATTTACTTTCAACATGCACAGTAGATTGTGTTCTCGTTTTGCCTTTACTGTTCTCAGCATCACAACGATAAACGCCTTCATCACTCATTGCACAATCCTCAATAACTAACATGCATACTCCATCTTCGCTGTTTTCGATGCTAATTTTATCGCTTTTCCGCAATAATATTCCATTCCGGTACCTTCAATTTCAAATTATAACTGAGGTTCAGTACAGAATTTGACTAAACGCAAAAATTTAGAGAACAATTTCCAATAATCTACAACTCCAAGTTATTAATATACCATTTGATTTCTGGCTTTGGACTACCGGTGACAACGCATTTTAATGTTAGTTTATCTCCACGTTCTAACCACTTATCTACCAATCCTTTGGTGAAGAATGGCTCTTCACCTTCATCTTTAACTTCTTCTTTGAGCTTGGAAATCGACACCAAACAAGCTGAATTTGTACTGCCTGCAAATGTACCTGGTATTAGTTTTGATTCTCGAACCAAAATATCCGATTAAATTTAATTTTATTGCTGTTATTATTATACACTGATATTGATATTTCTTGCAAAATATTAAAATACGGTACCAACCTTGTTTTATTCACAAGAAAAGTTCAAATACTGAAATAAACAAACCAAGATCATTAACAGCAACACAACGATAAGCACCATCATCAGATTCCGTGCTGTGATTGATAGTGAGCAAGCAGTGACCCTGATCAGAATCATATTCTATGCAAATTCGACCGTTATCTCTCATAGGTATACCATCTTTGTACCAAGTAACGCTAGCTTTCGGTATCGCATCCACTTTGCATGATAAACGAATCGTTTCGTTGATATTTGCGAATTTATCAGTAAGAGGTGGATTAAACCGCGGTGCAAATTCCCGCTTCTTTTTCTCCTCTTCCACTATTTCAGCTGATTAAATTCTTATTATTATTATTATGTACATTATAAAAGTATTGTTAAAAAATAAAACTCAAAAATGATTGATATTTATGGTATTTCAAAGGATTATCACTTAAGCAAATTCAATTTTGAAGTTGTGAACGATTAGAAAAATTTAACATGAAAATACCAGGCACATTCTTATAAAGCAACCTTGGATATTCAGATTAGATTTAGTTTCAGCTACACCGAATTTGTTTGTTGCTGTGCATTTATATGTGCCAACGTCCTCTTCATTAAAATCTTTAATTTTAACACGGCAAGCACCATCTGAGCTATTATGAATCTCTATGCGATCTGATTTCATTAAACTTACACCATCCTGAAATACATAACTTAAATCTTTAATCATAACGATTTGAATACTCTTGGAAAATAGCACTGTAAACAACCTTTGACCAACTGATATCAGCGATTGGTTTTGCGTCGACGTGACACTCAATAGTCATGAGCTGACCACGTGGTATTCGTCGGTCCCAAAGGGTAACATTGAATTTCGGTGGATATCCTTCGTCTCCTCGGAGTCTGCCAACTTTGACATCTTTTATATGCAGTTCTGACACACACTGTGCTCGTCCATGTTCATTTTCCGCTATGCATTTTACTTCACCGACGAATATTTCAGTGACATTCTCAACTGTCATTGTCCAGTTACCGTCAGCCAAATTATTAATGACAATATTGTCAAACCGTTGCACGTCTTGGCCACAAATTGACCTGAAACTATTAACTGCGTTGATAACATTCTTGAAAGACTTCCTTAAAAAATATACAAATAAATTTGTTCTCTTTTTCATTTGAGGTATTTAAATACACGATCAGTTAATCATTATCATATGAGTACTGCTCGAAATTCAAACAAAGACCTTTAATTCAATTTTATACTTTCATCGAAGTTAACATTATAAGCTATCAAAATGCGCAATTATGGTTATAAATGAAAAGAAACCTAGAACTAAGATGAATTTCAAGCCGTGGACTTAGAAACTGCAAATAATGAATAAAATTAAACTTATTACTGACAAACTACATATTTTGCATATTTAATAAAGTTTTTTCCATGCCAAAAATCCAGGAAATGAGTATTCCTTGATGCTTTCTTAACTAAGTTAAGAATATTAGCAGAAAATTCAGAAGTACTCACCACAAAAGTGTAGGCTCAGGTAACCCTCGAACTTTTACACTGAATTCTGCTCTACTGCCAGATTCTACGAAGACGTCTTGAAGCGGAATAACGAATTTCGGTTCTGATGGCAATTCATCGGCGCTAAGCACTCGAACTTTGCACTCTGACTTGACTTCTCCGATGGAATTCATCGCGATGATGCTATATCTACCGGCATCTTCCATAGTAGTGTCCAAAATTCGTAATGTAATAGTGCCATCCAAAGCAGCACGTATTACAGCTCGTGCTTCTGGAGTAATTTCCTTATCATTTTTGTACCTGAAATGAGGTTTCAAATTTATTTATCTCAATCAAAATAAAAAGGAACTTCTGCAAGATACATTTTTTTTTGTATATTTATTTGATTCCGGATTTTTAATTCATTTTAACTACTCGGAAGCAATATTTAAAGTTTAGTCTAAATTTAGTAAAGAAGAAAAATGGCTTAATAAAATATTCAAATACAAGGAACAATTGCAAAAATATTCAGAAAGGAGAAATTATGCGCAGTAATTACCACTTAAATGTTGGCGTAGGTTCTCCGCTTATTCTGCATTTCAAAGTTAATGTGTCACCTTCTGGTACTTCCATATCTTCAAGTGGCGTCAACAGAGTTGCAGCGCTTGTTGTTGGTTCTAATTTCTTAGCTGAACAATAGTCAATAATTATATTATCAGTAATGAAGTTTCAGAATAAATTTAGAGTGTTTATTTTTGAAGTACAGTCATATTCTAATGCAGTAAGATACTACAAGACAATCATTAAAAAAAATGAACTTTTGTAATATAATGCTCTCTAAATAAGGGAATAGTTCAATAAGCAAAATAATTTTATAAATAAATAAGTTTTTACGTTTCACATGTGCGATTGAGCCACTTTGTACTTCACCATGTTCATTTGTTAACAAAATACGATATGCTGCACCATCAGAGGTTAAACTTTGCGGTATTAATAAAGTATACTCACCAGCCTCGATATCATCCACCTGAATAGAAGAAGACTAATTAGAAAATCTCCTGCATACAGTAGTTGTGAAAAAAGGAAAATCCAGCAGGACAACATTGTCTTCAAGTACAGTTATTTGCTGAGTTGTTTTTTTAACTCATTATAAAATGAATGTGGTTAAAAATTTTTCGAAAACGGAAAATTATATCTAAGAATGAAATAATTTTATTTTAGGAATGGTCAAAATGTTATCAGTGCTTTTCATGGCAAAATTTTATTCAAAACAGAAATAAATACCATTTGTATGCGATCATTTGCCGTAATTTCTTGACCATTTTTCAGCCATTTGAAAGTTTTTGGTTTTCCTTCAACTTTGACTTTTAGTTTGATCGGCTGATCTTCACTGACATCAACATCTCTTAATCCCTCGATAATTTTTAATATGTTTGGCTGCACCACAATTAACTCAGCTGATGAGTCACAAACACCAGCTGAGTTGGATAAAATTACCTGTAAATTTGTAATAAGCTCCGTAAATTATCACAGAATTTTATGTATGCTTACTGTTACAATTTCATTTACCTGACAAATTTCTATTCTAATACTGTTTTATTTCATTTTTTTAGTCAGTTAAACAAAATTTATATTCAAAATTAGTACTTCCACTTTCAATATTAAATTTCAATAATAATACGATAAGATGCCTTGTAAGAAGCTGTGTCCTCCAACGATGCTTTAGAAATAATGAGTTCGAATTTCTTTGAACTTATTTGTTTAGTAACCACCTTAGATGTTGGCTTAACTTCTTGACCATTTTTATACCTTCAAAATAATATCTGAGTAAATTACTTTATATTGTGTTAAAAAGTTTCACATCACAAACAGTCATTAGTAATTCTTAGCTAAAAATACAATTAAAAAAAGAGAAATTGAAATTAAACCATTTAATTTCTCGAACAGGCACATTAGTCTCTACTTTGAATACTTGTTCATCATCTTCATTTATTTCACTGTCACTCAACCCTCTAACTATTTCGGGTTTCACGTCAATTTCCACGTTACCAGTAGTTTGAACCCTACCAACTTCATTAATTACTTCAGCAGTATATCTGCCTGCATCCGTAATCTCAGTCTTTGGAATTGTTAAGCGATACCTAAAAAAACTCGCTAACTACTCAGCAGACTATTACAGTTCGAGTGAAGCACTAGCAAATCTATAAAATTCAAACGCAGCTTCAGTTTTGGCATGCAAAAGGAGCTTTTGTAAGAATAAGAACTTGTTATTCTCAAAAATACGTTGAATAATTTTTCAGTTTTTGTGCTCTTACTAATCGTGAAAATACTAAAAGTATTTGCTAATTTAAATCCCTTTTCGACTTATTTTGTGAAATGATCTCAATTACACCACATGACATACGTTTGTTCATCAACTTGTTCAATTGTAGCTTTTATGTTTTTCGACAGCAGAATACCATCCTTAAGCCACCGAACTTCGGTTGGTTCATTATCTGCTTTGATTTCTAATACCAATCCATCACCTTTTGCGATAACCTGAATATTTTTATTTTTAACTTCAATGCACTGAAATGGCAGATATCAGAAAAATTCAGTTTTCTGCCAATAATTACATGTGAAAACATGTAAAGTTTGATTAATAGCGATCTAACGACCTTACCTGATCTTCCAAACCTTTAATAATTTTAGGTTGACCTTTACGCTTCTTAACGACTAAACAGGCAGATGAATCCACATCACCTGCGCTGTTTGATAATACGACCTAAAAATCACATAAATGAAAAATTTCACCCGTAAAATTGCAAAGTCTAAATTTCCAAAAATGCATTTATATAGAAATCAGTTTTCGTTACATTAAAATAGATTAAATATTGCAGCCAACTAGTTAAAATTTTCGTTTTTATCACAATAATTGCAAGGTAAATTAAGGTTTAACTCTGATAACACATTATAATTCCCATTAATTAATTGCATTAATGGCGATGTCCATTAATGAAATTAATTAATGAGAATTAAAATGTGATAAATGTATTGAGAAAATGAAGGTATCATGAAGTGATATTACTTTGTAATTGCCAGCGTCATCTTTTTCCGCCTTTTCAATAAACAGGCGAAATTTAGTATCATTGCTTTTGATTTCTAATTTCGCCTTGATATTTTCAAGTTTCTGGCCATTTTTGTACCATTTTACAGATCGTGGACGAATATTTGTCTCCACCAGCAGCTCCGCTTCCTCTTCTTCGATTACTTCCAAATCTTTCAGTGGCCTTAAGAAAGTTATCCGCTCCTCAACTGTTATCTACAAAAATTTTCCTTAAAAGTAAGATTAACTTCATATTTTAGTGCTATCGTTAATACATAATTATTGTTATGCTAACTTCTGGCATTTCGAGCTGATAAAGATTCTTGCTAGCAAATAAAAATTCCGATAATTCTTGAGACCATTTAAATATTGAAAAATAAATAAATTATAAAATCTAAGCTAACCTCTCCGGCACTCTTTGCCTGACCTGCTTCATTTGCTACTTCTACGGAATACATACCGCTATCATCCAAACCGCATTTTTCAATTTTCAAAAGATAATGATTATCATCAGCTTTACTGATCTCTATCATTTTCTTTTTTTCCGATAATTCTTGACCATTTTTATACCATTTTACTGTTTTTGGTTTTCCAGTTGTCTGAGAATATTTACTTTAGACAAATGATTAATGAAATTGAAAATTGTAATAAAGGCTTTAAATCTTCTGTGGTTTGGAAAGTCTATAAATTTAGAGGAAGATCGACAAAAATCTTTAAAATTTGTTTTTAGGTCAATTAATTAGATTATTCGCGGTATTCAAAAATTATAATTACTGAAAAATACTTCAATAATGATTTCCAATCGTTTTCCAACTGGAATGAACTGATCTTCAATTCCATGTTCAATGGTTGGCTTATTAGCTGGCTTTTTAACTGTTAGCATACAGCTAGAATCCACCTCATTGTCATCTGTTGAAAGTATCACCTAAATAATACTTTTCTTGATTATTTGCAGAGCTTAAAGGTCAAAGCAGTGACCTTTCTTACTTACAAACAAAAGAATTAGTGAGAATTTTTTAAACTTTTAAAAACTTTTCCCTTATTTGTCAAATATTTATTGCAATGATCCACATTGCTTCACTAAATATGATTCTTTCGCACCAATTATAGCATTAAAATCCTTTTTATCAAACTTGACAATGCTTATGCATACTTTGTAATTAGCAATATCATCCTCGGTGGTTTTTGGTATTTCAAGCTGGTAACTCTTGTCATTTACTGATTTTGGTTTCGCTTTAGCACCTGAAGTAATTTCCTCCTCATTTTTGTACCTGAAAATCAACAAAGCAATATTTTCTCTTAGTTACTACAAATTACTAATAAACGAAGTTTGTATTTATTATTTCTATGTGCATATAAGAGTACAATTCATGGAGTATTGATTTTGGAATCTTTTTACCAACAAATATTTTTAAGATATATACATTTTTAACAGTTTTGTAGGATTACCATTTAATCGATGTTGGTATAACATTTACTTCAACACCGAGTAATGCTGTTTCACCAGCATTAACTATTTTATCCTTCAACCCTTTTATGATAACTATTTTGGGTAGTTTTACGGTTAAAACGCAAGAAGAATCAACACTATCGTCATCCGTTTCAAAAACAACCTGGAAATAAGTTACAGAAGAATTTGAATGTGTTCGAAAATTGGAATTTTTAAAATTGAAAATTCTTTTTTAAAATAGACAAAATTATTTAATAGTGGAAAAAGAAGGATATTGGCAAAGACTCAAGATTTTCAAAAATTTTATTGAGACAATTAGTAGCACACCTTGTACTCAGCAGAATCATCTTTGCCCGTTTCATTAATCTCCAATTGATAAGTGTTATCATCTATTTTTACTGCTTTAGCGCTATCAGTTAACCTGACTTCTTTGCCATTTTTGTACCTTAAAAAATAAGCGTTTTTAAAAGTAAAAGCTTCATGTGATAATTACTCTATAAGAGACATTTTTATTAAAAAGCAATAATTTTCTACTGAACTTGTTATCGAAAGCATATTAAGATATTTTTTAATTAAATGGAATTTTTGCATGCAAGAAAAATCAGTGAAAAATTTCTAAATTCACATACCATTTGACTGATTTTGGCTTGTAATTCACTTCCACATAAAGTTTGACATTATCACCTGTTTCAGCCACTTGATCTTCTAAGTCTCTTGTGATAATTAATTTTGGTAATTTTACGGTTAAAGCACAGCTCGATTCAACAGTATCATCACTATCTGTTGACAAAATTACCTGAAAGTGAAGTTTGCATTTGTGGAATCATAAAATAAACACCAAACATCTCTGAATAAAATTTACCCAAATGAGCTATCGATTATTCGAATTCAAAACAAAAATTATGACTGATTATTCAAAACATTAAAATTGGGGCTCTTTATCAAAATCACTGAAGCTTCTGGCCAAAGCACTTTCAGATTTGAATTTTTTATTCCAACTCCAATCACTAAACAGATTCATTACTGAAAAATGAATTTCAAAATGGCTCTTAGTCTTACTTTGTATTCAGCGGTATCATCCTTTCCAACGTCTGGAATCTCAAGGCGATATACATTTTCGTTGATTTCTTTTGGTTTTGCTTTAGCTTTTGTGTCAATTTCTTTACCATTTTTGTACCTTTACGTTGGCAATTTTCATTTCAAATTTACTGTTTGATAATTATTTTTTGTATTTTTTCTTAATTATTGCAATTTTTAAACTACGCTATCCATAACTTTTTATTGCGGCAAATAATTTTCTGGCAGATAATTTTTTCCATAGTAGATAATTTTCTAAGCAAAATTGTATATTTGGTATAAAATCTTCCAAACTAGAACTTCAAAAAAAATTACGTACGAACCATTTAATTTGCCTCGGAGGAGTATTTACTTCGACTGACAATTTAACATTTTGACCCTTCTCTACGATTTGATCTTCAAGACTCTTTGTGATTTTCAACTTGGGTAATTTTACTGTTAACGCACAAGATGATTCAGCGCTTCCTTCATCATTCGAGACCACAACCTGTAATTGCAGACAAATAATCAGTTATGAAGTTATTCGAGATCAACTCAAATTGAGTTAATTTTGCGCTTTAAAAAAGTCAGCGTGCAGTACATTTACATTTAACATTTTCATGTCGGCAACTGCTGTTCAAAAATAAACAAATTCATTGAGACAGAGAAAACAGATCGCAGTAATTTTGCAGTCATTTTTCAGCAAATTTTAGAATCTCAAAATTTTGACAAACTTCAAACTTCTAGACACAATCAAAAATATTAATCCTAAATCTGCAGAACTTACATTTATTAATTGGGTTCTTCGTTACCTAAAACAGTGAGTTATTTTTGGTTCATTCCAATAGTTATATTAAGCTGAAGTCACTAGCTCGATCTTAGATGTTGACTTACTTTGAATTCACCGCTAGCATTTTTATCAACGTTCGGTATTTCTAGCTGATAGACTGTGTCGGACACTTTACTTGGTTTTGCTTGATCGTCAGTAAGAATTTCTTTATCATTCTTATACCTGAAATTCAAAACTTGATCGGGTTCTTCTGCCTTATGTGTAAATACTGTCACTTAAATGTACTTCTTATAACTTCCATCAAATCAGTAACCAGTGACATAATTTAATATTTTTTACGATAAAGTCAGTATCACAAATTTCACCTTGAGTTGAAATTCATCAATTTCCGCTGAGTTTTAAGTGAAGATTACAAAAACAGAAGCTATACCTTATGAAAAAGTTTATCATTGATAATGAAACTACGTAATATCAAGAAGTGTGTTAAAGTTAATTCATGATATATTAATAATACAAAACTTACCACTTCACCTGTCTTGGGGGTGAATTTACTTCCACACTTAAAATAGCTCTAGCACCAATATCAAGCACTTGATTTTCCAAACCTTTGATAAATTTAATTTTAGGAAGTTTTACAGTTAACTTGGCTTCTGACATTGTTTCACCTGCATCATTCGAAAGCACAATCTGAAATCAATTTGAATGATTCCAGATTTTGACTTGATAATACTTTTTGAGGAGATTACAGTTACTCAAATTTTACATTGCCAAATCTGAAAATTAAATACAAAAATGACTGAAGCATGTATTATAATATCAAAATAAAACTTGCAATATATTTTGCACGTACAAATTTTGCATTGAAATCAGAATACTTTTAACTATATTACAGCTGCTAAGCAATATGCATTATTTAATTTTACTGCAATGTAAACCTTATATTCAGCTTCATCGCTTTTCGATGCTTTTTCGATTATCAACTGATATTTATTGCCATCAGTTTGCTTCGTTTCAACATTTTTCGCTTCCACACCATTCTTGTACCTGCAAAAATGAATTTCGACTTAAATATAATCCTAAATTTTATTATTCATTTTTCGCTGTTTAAATAAAAATTGAAATATTTTACAGTATTCACTAAAGTTAATCCCGGAACATTTAAAAAAATATAAAAATATTAAAACCACAAACCATTTAACTTGCTTGATTAAGCCTTTAACTTTGACTTCAAGAACTACTTTATCTCCTATTTCACATTTTTCAGGCTTCAAACCACTAATAATTTCTGGCTTCTGTTCGTCTGTAAATTATTATTAATAACAGTTATGCATCGAACAAAAAATTTTACTTAGTTGTATTTTAACTGTTTAATAATGATTAGGCACCTTTAACAAAAATAAATGTATATCTCTGCTGTATCAATACATATTCCCTGAAGCAATTGCTCAATTGCGATAATCTGATTCAAAAATTTTGCAATTTCACAGAGATATACAAGTTCAATAAATATTCAAAAAAAAAAAAAATTTGCAAGTGATCGCATTCCCAATACCTTAGAAATGGATATACTAAAAAAACAATAATATCAAGCATACTTAAAAATTTTTTCAAATCGATAAAAACAAACCAGGTTTAAGGCATATATTTGCTTTACATTCTGCAGATCCAGCACTGTTTGACACCTGAACCGTATATTCACCTTGATCATTTTCACTGACTTTATCAATTACTAACTGGTATTTTCCGCTTCCAAGATCTTTAATTCTCGATATTTTTTCGTTAACTGGTGAACCTGCCTTGAGCCATTTGACTTGCTTATGTGAACCTTCAACTTCAATCTGAAATATCAAAATCTAAATTCATTAAATCATTTAGTTAAAATTATACTCGGAAGCTTCAAGCTAAAAAATACTGAAAAAAATTGCAAAAACGATTAGCTGCGTAAAGTTATTTTGATGCTAAAAATATTTTATAAAACTAATATATATTAAGAAAAGGTTTTGGAACCAAAAAATAATCATTTAGATTCTAAAGTTTGCGACAAATTTATTTTCCAGCTATTTTAATGAATTTATATTTCTTTTTTCACATTCCATAAATGAAAATTGTTCCGCACCTCAAGAACAAGTTTAGATCCTTTTGGTACGGTCTGATCCTGGAGACCCTTCCGGAAAACTGGAACTACTTCTTCCTCAAGCACTGTTACAGTGCATGATGATTCTATAGTTTCTGCTTCAGTAGATAAAACAACACGGTATACACCTTCATCTGAACTTTGAGCTTCATCAGTTTCCAAACTGTACTGTTGTTCTGTGACTTTTTCTAACTTGTTTCGTCTGAAATCAGCTGACTGGTATTTTTCAAGAACCTAATAATAAACAGTATTATTTAACATTTTAATTTTCAAGTATTTTAGCTTTAAAAGTTTCTTTATTCATATTCCTACTTGCTGCTTCTAATTTCATCCTTCCCGTGATACCATTTCACTGTTTTTGGCTTTCCTTCAACTTCTACAACCAATCGAATTTTGCTTCCAACTTTTACCTTTGTATCTTCCAGAGCTTTTTTTAGTATCAAAGTTTCCGGTACTGAAATAATCACAATTATATCATTTAGAAGGTACTGAAGCGCAAATTTCATCTCATAGATAAATAAAACCATAATAGAGATTCAATGCAGATGATTAACCTTTGATTGAAGAATTATGAAGTTTTGTAGACATTTTTACAAATAAAATTTGATCATGAATAAAGTCACCATTAACAGTTAATGGAGCTTTTGAACTCATGGATCCAACATTGTTGGTTGCTTCACAGCGATAATTGCCCTGGTCTTCTACACTCACGGAATCAACAGTCAAACGATTTGTACCATCTGGCAAACTTTCGATCCGAATATGATCATCTGGTTTTATTTCTTTGCCATCTTTGAACCACCTTATTTCTGGTATAGGAATACCGGAAATTCTAGAAAAACAAAAAATTAGTATAAATGCAACAACCGCCCTCATCAGTACGCATTTTAGACGAACAAGTATGACGAAAAATATCTGTTAATGTATAAAAAACCGTAAAAACTATACTGTATACAATACGTTGCTGCTAATAACATATTAATTATTCACTCTGTTTTTCGTGCTAAATCTTAAGTACCAGTTTACTATTTTGCAGAAGTCAAGACATAGTAGTTACCTGCATTCAAATGCAATCTGTTGCCCTTGGTTAGCATGAACAGGTCTCAATTCTTGAAGTATTTCTGGTGAAATTTCACTATCTATCGGTGTTTCATGTGCATAAAGTACATGTAACATGGACTCGGTGCGTGCAGTGCCAAAAAGATTTTGAGCTTCGCATCTGAATTCACCAGCATCAATCTGCAACCATAATTTTATTGATGACTATCAATGAATATTTTTATTATATAGAAAAAGCTATAAAAAAATTAAAGTCATAACCTTGTTGACTGATTCAATGATTAGGCGAGCAGTACCATCTGGAAGTGTTTCTCTTTTAAAATGAATGTCATCTGTTTTGATTTCATTTTTATCCTGAAATTTAGATTGAAAAATGGTAAAATTCAATAAACAACAAAAATATTTTTTTAAATAGAGTTTAAAAAAATTTAAATTAAAAAGTTAAAAATAGAAATGCTTGAGAAACAAAAAGATTAAATCTAATTTGTACAAATGTTTTCAACCTTGAACCATTTGATTTTCGGCATCGGTACACCAACGATTTTACATTCTAATGCAACATGCTCTGATTCTTTGGCACTTATTTCTTTCAAAGTTTTAAGGAATGTTGGAGCTGACTGTTCAATTGGAGCTTCTTCTTCTGTTACAGGTACTGAAAGTAACTGGTGTGTAACGTGTATAAGCTAACAATCAAAAATGATTCATAATGAAACTTCACAATTAGAAAATAATTTATGATGCAAATTTAAATAAAATAATGCACTACTAATTAAGAAACCTTTTACAGTAAACGTAACTACACTCCAGACATCACCATACTCGTTACTTGCTAAGCAACGGTATTCATCGGTATGATCTACTGTAGCATTTTTTATAACAAGTCTTTGAGTACCATCAGAACAACTTTCCATTTGCATATTCATATCTTCCTTTAATTCATTTTCACCCCGGTACCATGCAATTTCTGGCTTTGGCTCACCAATAACTTTGCCTTCTAATATGGCCGTATCTCCAGCAAATACCTTAAAATGAGTAAAAGTTATCTATTTCAAATATAATTAGTTCTCGAAAATAATGCAAATCTGAACATTAAAAAGTCGAAGTAGAATTTTAACAACATATAGGAGGAGTTTGCTTCATAATTACTGACTCGCTCAGCATTAAATATCCCATTTTAATTTCTTATTATATGCTGAATGATCCTATTATTACCATTTACATGAGTAATGGAAGCTTGAAGCTAGTGATAAGAATTACAGTAACAGGTTTGATGGGCTCGATGAAATCTGGTGCTTCGCCTTCTTTTGGTAACTCTTGACTAGTCACAATCTGAATAGGGGCAGTAGTCCAAGCAGTACCATAAATATTTTTTGCATCGCATCGATATTCTCCAGAATCTTCTTTGGTAGCTGATTCAATTTCCAAAAGGATGGTACCATCCTCATGGAATTCACTTTTTATTCGATCATTTTGCTCTAACTAAACCTTCGCATGTTAATATAACATACAAATTATAAAACTTAGCTACAATTTGAATTAGAATCGCATGATTGATTTAATGATACCGTTCAAAAAATTCAAAAATATTCATTTTAAACAAGGCTTGAAAGTATTTAATTATCTAAGGCAGCAATTTATGCTCGGTATGATTTCCAATTGTTTCTTAAATGAAAATTAAGTTAGGATATAATTGTATTAAAGAATATTTGTACTGTGTTACACTAAAAATTCAAGAAAGAAGACCTCGACACCATCCTTCATCCAAAATATTTCTGCTCTCGGCAGACCTTCCACTTTGCATTTCAGCAGCGCTTTAGCATTATCCGGAATTACACAAGAATTCAAAAGTGTCGAAAATTGCGGAGGTCCTTCTCCTTCTGGGATTTCTTCTGCTTTCTCTGAAAATATATGAAAGGTAAAGTAAGAAAATGCAAATAAGCGCATCAGAAATAAAGCAGTATTTCAGTCTGACCTGAAATGACAAGTTTTCCTTCGGTCCATGCTGATGTATCAGCAATGGTAGCCATACATCGATAGGTGCCAGCATCTTCTGCAGTAACTTTTTCGATTTTTAGTTTTTGAGTGCCGTCAACTAACTGCTCAATTAATGCACGCTCAGATGCTACCTCACATCCATCTTTCGACCAGCTCACTTGTATATTAGTCGAATCTTTAGTTATATTCAAAGCACAGGTCAGTTCTACAGGGGAGCTTTCTGCTACAGCAATATCACACAAAGGTTGCACAAATCCAATCACTGCCGACTCATCCGATACTTCTTCTTCTGTTTCGCTTGCAAACATAATTTTTGATGCGGTACATGCTTTACCCATTTTATTCACTGCCTCGCAACGATAGGTGCCAACATCACTTTTGGTAGCATTTCTGATTGTTAACGACAGTTTGCCATCAGTGAGCTTTTCTATGATCATATGCTGACTTGGTTGAATTGCTGTATCATTTAGGAACCAAAGAATATCAGCATTTGAGTTTTCGTTGATCTGACATTGCACTGTAACTGTTTCGCCTTCTTTGATAGTTTGTACTCGTAGCGGTTCTATGAAAATCGGTTTCACGTCTTCTTCCACATTATCGTGCTCATATTTTGCAAATTTGATTTGACCTCTAGTTTCATCGGTACCAGCTGCATTGATAGCTTTGCATGTGTAAGTCCCACTATCTTCTTGTCGCACATTCTTAAGAATCAGCGTGTAATGTTCTTGCTCATGTTCATGTTCTTTCATTACAATGTGTTCATTATCAATAGTGAGTGGTACTCCATCTTTGAACCAGAGAATTTCAGGAGTTGGTTTACCAGTTACTGTTACAGAGAGCTTAGCAGCTGCATTTTCGTTCACTGAAATTTCCTGAAGACCTTTGATAAACTGTGGTACCTCAAGAGAAGATTCAATCGTAACTTCAGCTTCAGTTTCAGCAACTCCAAATGTATTAGCAGCTTTGCATGAATAGATACCAATATCTTCCTTTTGAGCATCTTTAATGATTAAAGTGAAATGACCAGTCACATCTTTTCGTTCTTGAATATGCTTCCCATCAATATTTACCGAGACTCCATCTTTGAACCAAGTGACGTTAGGAGCTGGCTTGCCAAGTACTGCTACTGAAAGTTCAATAGTTTCTCGTTCCGGAACCGAAAGTTCCCTCAAACCTTCGGAAAATTTAGGTGCTTCAATACTTTCCTCAACCGCAAATCGAGCTTTACTTTCCGTTTCACCAGCTTTGTTGACAACCTTGCAAGAATAAACTCCTGCATCTTCTAATCGAGCTTCCTTGATAGTTAAAGTATGCTGACCAGATTCTTCTTCCTGAATAAATATGCGTTCGTTATCAATTTTAACCGGTGCATCGTCTTTGAACCATTGAACATCAGGTGTTGGTACTCCAGTCACGGTTATCTCCATTCTGGCTGTTTCAAGCTCATGAATCTTTACATCTTTTAACATTTTGGTGATTCGTGGGGCGACAGCTGTGGCTTCCACGGTGACATCAGCAATCGATGCTTCTCTTCCTTCTGAATTTACCAAGTCAACTCGGTAACTGCCAGACTCTTCGGCTGTTGCATTTTTTATGATAAGAATTGATGTGTCATCTGAGGTATTAATCAAAATTTTTTCTGCTTCCTCTTCAATTTCTTGATTATTTTTAAACCACTTTACATCTGGTTGCGGAGTACCAGTGAATTTCACTTCCATGACTATTTCATCACCCTCTGTAACTTTGCGGTTCTTGAGAACATCAAGAAATTCTGGTTTATTTTTTATTTTTTGCTGTTTAATTTCAGCTTCCGATTCTGCCATGCCAGCAGTATTAATAGCGACAGCGTGATACGTGCCGAAATCAGATTTTTCTGTTTCTTCGATTACCATCCTCCAGTGCACATTAGTAGTGTCATGCTCAATGGAATGATGTGAGTCCGAGGTGATGCGTGTACTTTCTTGAAAGAACTGTACCACCGGTTGAGGTAATCCTTTCACGCTGCATTCTAGTATCACCTTCTCCCCAATATTAACTTCCTTGCTGGTAATGTGGTGGGTGAACTGTGGTGCTTCTGCTGAAAATAACACAAGTTAACTAAAAAAAACTATTGGAATTGATCAATCTAAGATCAAATTTTGTAAGAATCGCTTTTTTGTGTAACCATTAATAGAACAAATGAATTTCCCCTTCACAATACTTATTAGTCACACAATTTTTTTGCATGCTAAGAAGAATTTTATTCATCTGAATAAAATGGACTCTCAGATTCAAATTTTGCTCACAGTGTATTTTCAACATTACAATGCATTCCATGAACATTACTTTGTTTTGTAAAGTTAAGTTCTATGGTTTGGTAAAGAAAAATCGGTTTTTTTGCATCGAGAATAAAGTAAATGATACAGAGCGCAACCTTTTTAGTGAAAAAAATCTACATCATTCTTTAATATTAATGCCTTCTCATACTGGTCAAATTTGAAAACGTACCTAAAACGGATAAAGTTGCTTTAATTTCTGTTTTACCCTCAATATTTTCAGCCACACATCTGTACAATCCTTGGTCAGCAATATCTGCGGAAGAAATTACCAATCTTTGGACCGAACCTTCTGATTCAATGACTATTTTACTAGTCTCTTCAACTACTGGTGTCTACAACCAAAGTTTTGATCCTTTTTTCATAATTTATTCATTCAAAAAAGATGGATTTTCGGAACTAAAATCTCGATATTGGATTCCAAATATTGAATACTTAATAAAGACCTTTTCGTGGAACCAAGTAATCCTCGGTTGTGGTTCACCGACTACTTTACACTCAAAAATCACTTTTTCTGCCTCTTTGATCGCTTTATCTTGCATGGCGACAACAAATTCTGGTGCATATGTTTGCGGTTTTACGAGAATTTCTAGAATTACGCAAGGAAAAAGCAAATTAAATAAATCCTACAATTTTAAAGATTCTGCTGAGTATTAAAAACGTTTACAAAATTTGCTTATACTGCATTTTCTTTAAGTTAATTTTCAAACTCTGATTAGTACTACTAATATGTGCTAGTCAGAGGTACCTCTCAAATGTCATTTCATTAATCTTTAATTGCAAAATTACTTTTTAAGTGGTGGAAATTATTAAGCTGACTTACCATATTCTACTCTTGTTTTAAAATACTAATTTCTTTTCACTTGTAGCAATTACTTACCAATAACATTCAAATTTGCTTCACAAAAATCATGGCCAGCAATGTTTTCAACTATGACAACGTATTTTCCGGCATCTTCTGGCACAACATCATCAATAATAAGTTCACTTGTAACATAACCCTCTATAATTTGAGTTTGCACTCGAATCCTAGCAATCAGCTCAATTTCACGCCCATCTTTAAGCCTGAATGACCAATTTCATTTTGTTGAAGAACGTTCAAGTTTCATAAAAGATTGGACGAGAACTAAAGATGATTAAGTATCCAAATCGGATCTGAATTCGTACTGATAGCATATGACTATATCATAAGATGAATTGAAAATAAAAAACTAACCATTTGCAACAAACACCTTTAGTGTCTGGAACAACACATTCGAAAATTGCTTGATATCCACGTGCTGCTCGAGTATCCTTAATTTTTTTTATAAATTTAGGCGCCATTATTGGTGTTGGAGTACGCTGAATTTCTTCAATAGATTCTGCTTCCGTCGCTAAAATATCAAATTTAGCAAAATTATTTTCGTAATTATTAAGACTTCTAAAACATTGCTTTTTACTTTATAATAAATATAGTAAAAAAATATCATTGATTAAGTTGAGTTTTGTTAGCAAAAACTTATCTTGAAAAGGTTTTACTCAATAATTCAATCAACAAACCAAATTCTGCTCCATCTTCGAAAGTTAACACTTCTTCAGCCATCATTTCAGATTCGGTCTGTGATTCTGAGAACATATCTGAGGTGTATGGCTAAAAAAACCATTTAAAATTGTAATTAGCATCATTCTATTTAATATTTAATACTAAATATGATAAGTGAATTTAATTTAATATTGCAATATTCATTACTATAAAGTTCGAAATTTAAAAGTTAGCTTAACTGAATGAATACAAGCGCATTACTTGAGTACTTAAATGAAAGCTTACTCCCATGCTAGCTGTGCATGACACTTCTCCAGCATCATTCTCGGCTTTACAAATGATTTCGCCGGTATGTTTGTCAGGATTGAAACTTTTAATTATCAAAGTTGACGTACTATCATCAGTGTGGATTGTAATTTCTTCGCTCTCTTCGATAACTTCGTTATTGATGTACCACGTAAGAGTTGGCTTTGGATCACCAGTGAAAACAACCTAAATTTTTAAATTTTTCTGAAGAAAAATTTGGAGTTAAATGTTAGCTTACATCTGAAATCTTGCTCAGCAAAAAACCCTCAATTACTGGTGAAAAAATAGTAATATAAATAATTAAAAAATATTTGCTTTGCGTTAAAATAATTTCCCTCTTAAATGTGTTGCGACTGATAAATTTTATTTAATACCATAATATTCTATTTTAACAATTCTTAAAAAATTCACCAAGTATTTTGATGACTTTCATTTGTAGTTCATTAGTTTATAACACTTTACTCAATAGCAACTTACTTTATGAGTAACTTGTGATCCTTGTCGTGCTTTTATATTGCTAAGCCATTCGATAAAATCTGGTGGTTCACCACGAGGAAGCACCAAAAGAGTTGCTTCTGAAGTTGCCTTACCATATTCATTTACTGCTTCACATAAAACCTGTAAACAGATTTATCTTAAATGTTACCACAAAAATTTATTTCAAATTTGGTTTCATCAATTTTAAAATATAAATTATATCGAAAAGTAATTATTTTTAAATCATATCTAAAATATTAAATGTTCGCTGCACCTTTCCAGAATAATCACAGGTAATATCTTTGATAGTAACTGTATAGGTTCCTTTTTCAGCGTGAATTTTTATGTTTTGTGACTCCTCCAATTTTTTATCATTTACATACCTGAAATTTTTTCAGTTTCACTTATACGAGCCTGGAATCTTATAAGATCTTAGTACCTAGAATGTTATTCTCTAATAAGTCAGCCAAAAAAATTAGTTAGTTTAAGTATTTAAGCAAACTTTTCGTCACGAATCTACCAGAGAACCTGGAATTTATATGATAAATCTTTTTACTAAAAAAAACCCTTCTGATATAAGCAATTTTTTCTAGCATGTTCTTGACCTATTAAAAATAGACTTTTAAAAATAATTAAATTTTTCGCACGCTTCATCCATTTTCAAACTGAAAAAAATGCGCAGATTGGACTTGAAAGTGTCTTACTGACTCTTTTGATAAAGAATTAAAGCACACCATGATACTTCAGGTTTTGGTTCACCCAGAAGGACAGCTTTCAACTTCAAGGTGTCACCTTCTCGGCAAATTGCATTGCAGAGGGATGTTTCGAATTCGACTGGAATCGGTGTTACAATCGTCAGATTTCCCTGGGTAGTAACTTCACCAGCCTTATTGTATGCTACACACTTGATTATGCCAGTCATATCACGGGTACATCCATGAATTGTCAACGAATATACGCCATTTTCCTCCTTCATTTCTGTATCCTCTGTTGCTACTACTAGCTACAAAATTCAGTCACTGTATTTCACAATTGTAACATTTTCAAGTTTTCTTTATCATCCTGAATTAAAATTAACTTCAAAAAATATTCGTAGTTCTTGCTGCTGGCATTATTAGTTGCAAAAATTTAGATTATAGTTAGTACTTCAGTTCTAGTTATCGTACTATTGGGGAATTATTCAGTGCTATTTGACATTGCACAATTGTCTAATTCAAAGAGATGATTATTTTCAGTACTAATTGTCAATCTTTATTTTCTTCTTGCCATTAATACCCATGAAAATTTATATAAAACTTAATATACCAGCTACTATATTACTTCCTCCGGAAGTAATTATTGTGCATTACTGATATCAAGCCATATTAATTAGAACGAAATAGAACAAGTCAGTCAATTAATAAATGAGTAACCTGGTTATTGATGTACCATTTAGTAAATGGGGTAGGATCACCGGTGATTATCAATTTGACATTCAGTGATTCCCCTTCGGTGACCGTTGTTGCTGGTATATCTGAGAGGAAAGCTGGCTTTGCCATTGGTCGTTTCTTTGTTACTCCAATTGATGCCGAGCAATCTGAATATTTTTTGAACTCGAATTGAAATGAGAACAAAGTGCAATTAATTTAAATCTCTCACTGAATTTTCACAAATTTAGTTTTGTACTTGAATTTTTTCAAACTTGGAGTATCAACTATCTATAGAAGCTTACGACTTTTGTAGTTCATGATTTCTGCACTCAGTTAACAATCTAAATTTGCATATCAAGGCAATATTAAGAGCAACAGCTTTCAAATTTCTAGTTGAAATAATGTATTACACATAGTTATTTAATAAATATCTTAATTTTATAGCAGTGAAGAATCGATCGAAATTTTTGCCAAATTCAAAAATCAGTTTTCAAAACATACCGGCTGATCCAAATTGATTTTCAGCTCTTAATGTAATTCGCGATTTGTCGCTCAACTTGATAGAATCTATTTTTAATTTTAAAGTCCCATCACTTTCTTGGCTTACCTTGAAGTGATTATCGACTAATGGCGCTCCATCTTTCAGCCACGTTACTTTTGGAGCAGGTTTAACCTTTAAAAAATAAACGTCAGAAGATGTGCTTGAGGATTAATTCTATAATTCATGAAATAAATATATTTTTGTGAGAATGGTAGTTTCTAACTAATTTTAGATGATATATTTTGATAATTACGTCATACAGTTATCAGTCAGTTATTCCGACTTGAATTTTCAATCCGGTGCTGAGTTAAATAAATTTTTATGATAACCTGAGCAAGTTTAGCATCCATAATCAGTTCTTCGCCTTCAACTACCAATTTATCCTCAATGTTTTTAATGAATACAGGTGCTTCACCAACAGCTTTCACTACCAACGTTGCTATTTGTTTCCTCGATCCTACACTATTTTTTGCTTCACATGAAACTTCTCCACTTTGCTCAGGTATAGCATTACTTATCTTCAAAGTATGCTCACCATTTTCTGACGTTATTGAGATATCACTAAAATACAAACTTTTTTTTACATAATTACTGATCTTATAAATTATAAATATTCAGATATTGAGCCTTACTTGCACACAAAGCTTATATTACAAATACTATTTTTTATTTCTATAAAACAATAGTTCCCAATTGTTTTTAATTGCAGTGAATGAATAAAAATGATAAAAGGAATTTATTGAGTTTAACGTGAATTACATGAAACATACCCTCCATCAAAGATGGGCTCTCCATTAAGAAACCATGCAACTTCTGGAACCGGGTAACCAGCCACGTTAACAGAGAAAGTAACCGTTGTACCTTCATTCACTTGCCGACTTTTCATTTCAGCTGTGATACTGGGTGGTTCTGATTTTTTCCTGACTGTTAAAGTTGAGCTAGCTTCCGTTTTCCCTTCGATATTTTCTGCTCTCACTGTGATCTAAATAATACTTTTGCTTAATTGATTACGCTGAAAGTAAAAGAAAAACAAACTTTGGGCACCTTAAAAGTTTATTAAATAACCTAAAATAGTAACCTTTTGGGGTGAATGTGATAATTTAGCTCTGAAAATTTTGATCGAAGTTTTTCCAGTGCTTTCATCGTATTTAACCCGAAGTTCATCACTGCTTTCTAATTTTTTCTCATCCATATACCAAGTGACTTTTGGCACAGGCTTTCCTTTAACAATAGCACTAAATTTCACAGTTTGTTCTTCTTCAATAATATGATCTTGTGGTTGCTTAATTAGTTCTGGTTTCTGATAAACTTCAGTGATCTCAACGAATGCGTGGGATTCGCTGATGCCGTAAAAATTTCTCGCTTGAACCATTAAAGTTCCCGTCATCTCTGGTTTAGCTTCAGCTATTGTTAAGTGATACCTTCCTTCTCCTAAATTCAGTTCTTTTCAATTTATATCATTCTAACTTTCAACCAAATTATTCTAAATTTTTTGATTTCAAATTTAAACTCATCAAACACGTGACTTATTTTTTATCGCTTATATCTCTCACAATTTTCTAAGATCTAAGCAATAGCATTGCATACCGTCATCAATAATTTGAATATTTTCACTGTTTATCAATTCCTTGTCATTCAACAGCCATTTTACAGTGACTCCTTTATAGGGACGTTCAATGGCAATATCCCAGCGTAATGGTTCACCTTCATATACTGCTCGATCAATTAGATGGGTTTTGAACACAGGCGTTGTCAAGTCTGGCTCCACCTGAAAATATTAAGTAAAGCTTGCAAAAATATATCTCTATGCTAATCAAACAACAATTAGCTAGCAAAAAGAATTTACAGCGCAAGAGTAGGACAAAAATTAAGAAAATGACTGCTTGAATATTGTATTCAATCAAGCAAAATTGACAATAAATTATTCATTTGATTTTGAATTTTAAATGTATTCAACTTGCAATTTGATTATTTATTCATTTTGGATTACAATTTATTAAATAATCAACATACAGTTCTGCTATTGAAGACATTTAGAAAAACTCAAACCTTAAGAACAACTTCCTTGCCAACGACACCGGCCACATTTTCGGCTATTACAGTAACCTCACCGGCATGTTTCACATTTACTCTTTCAATTTTCAATGTGTAAATATTTTCGAAAGATTTAATTTTGATATTTGCATCCGTTGTAGATAGTTCTTTACCATTCAGTTGCCATTTGACATCTGGAGTCGGTCTTCCTGTGATTTCTACACGAAATACGGCTGTTTCGTTTTCTTTGACAGATAGTGAATTTGGACCTATTGAAATGGAATCAGTAAATATCACTTAGAAATATAAACTGATGACAGAAAGTAAAAAAGTGTGGGAATACAAATCAGACACAAATTAAATTTCAATTTTTCGCACTGTCATTCATTCGAAATAAAGCAAGTTTTGTAGACTAAATTTGTAGTCAGTAAACTAAAGTTATTTAATATTATCATAACTACGTGTAATAATATGCAAATTTTACTGTGATCTACACAGTCATTATTGTCATATATGTGTAATGACTGTATATCAGATATAACCAAAATTATTTTTTAACTTTTTGTAAATTAATAAATCAATATAATAGAATTGAATGGTATGATTTATTTACACAACTGATAGTGGTTTAATATATTAGAATTACTAAAAGCACTCCCTGCATTATTGACTCATTTTCAGGCAGGTACCTTCAATAATTTCAGGTGCAATGTTTCCTTCTTCAACTTTCATATTAAATGATGACGAAGCCTGTCCACCTTCATTAATTGCTGTCACCGTTATTTTACCCGCTTGTTGCAATGTCACTTGATTGAAAATCAGAATACTTTTGCTTTCTTCGTTGATAATTGTTATATTTTCAATACCATTCTGAAAATTAAAACGATTTAAAAATTGAAATGATCTACAAAATAACTACACAAATTATTAACTGCAACCGAACAAATTAAACAGATTAACCTTAAAAGCATCCTTCTATCACTTTTTCTACTATTTACTACAAAGCACAGATCACACAGGTAAAAATCCGTGCAATAATTTAATGCTGATTATAATATATTTATGACAAACATGAATCTATACAAATTTTGAAAATAATATCGAAAGTTAATATGTGTTAAATTGATCGCTTTTAATGTACATAAAATTTAAACCTGTAGAATTTTGTCATTCAGATTCCATTGAAAAGTAGCTCTGCCAGTAGATTCAATCGTTACTTCAACTCTATCCTTTTCTTTAACCGAAATATCACTCAATTCACACGAAAATTCTGGTGGTTTACATATTATTTTTTCTTCGATGACATGCAAATTTGCGCTTGCTTCAATTGTGCCAGCTTCATTGGAAATTCTGACGGCAATTATGCCAGCGTATTGAGCAGAATCAACAGTTAACTTGAAGTCGAAATTTTGACAAGAAATTTCGACGCCTATTGAAATTCAATTTTTAATTTATGAAAAATTCACTTTTATTAAAAACAATTTTATGCAAAAGTTGCAATTTAAACCAAAATATAAGCAATTACTTGAAATTGTCAAATTTTTTGCAAAGAGAGAGTTGGTGCAATAAAAGTTACGAATAAAAAAATCAGTGCTAGCTTTCAAGAATAGGTCATATAGATACCGGGCATTCCATCTGACAATGGCCTTCCGTTGCTGAACCACTGGACAGCAACTTCACTTGGTTCTACGGATATTTTAAAATCGGCCTTATTACCGTACTTGACATTCTGACTTTCCAATGTTGTCTTAATCACTGGTGGATTGACTGCAGTTTTTGTAGCGATATTCAGGACTTCCTGTAAGCTTTTCAGTTTTTTCTTGCACAAAATTACATATTTTGAATTTAATTTGTATGTCATTTTAATCACTGACTCACTGTATGATTTTTCATTATTTCTACTTCTTACTTTACTTACTTCTGTCTTTTCAGACTTTACCGAAGTTTCTTTCTGTACTTCAGTTTCTTTGCGTTCTTCTTCTTCAACTGTCAGTCGAGCGCCACTTTCGTCCTTACCTAAAATACTTTAATTTTCACACAGAAAAAAATATTATTAAAATTCAAAAGAGTAAACATCACTTGAAATAAGTGATTGCATGATCAAGAGAAATTATAATAATTTAGTAAAAAAATCAGTCATACCCATGGAATTTATAGCTGTGACAGAAATAGTAGCAGAACCAAAGATTTCGGTGTCAATTGTGAGTACCGAAATATTGTTGACCATTTCAACTTTGGTGCCTTGCATATTTTCGGTGACTTGATATCCATTGATGAACCACTGATATTGCGGCTCAGGTTCCGCACTAGCATTAGCTTCAAATTGAGCTTCTTCGCCTCGTTGTACCGCTAAATTTTTAGGTCGCTTCTCGAAGCGTGGCTCATGAGGCTTCCTGTTCACTGTCAACTTTGCAAGAGATTCTGAACTTCCTTCAGAATTCTTCGCCACACATCGAATTATCCCAGTGTTTTCAAGTTTCAAGTCACTGATTTCCAATTTTGAATTGCCATCAAATTCACGAATTTTTATCACCTAAAATTTGTTATTTAGCAAAAAAGGTTCTGGGTTTGTTGATACTTACAAATTATTTATAAAAACTGAAACGAGAAAAAATCGAATCTGCAAAATATTAAACTATATCATTTAAAAAAATATTTTACTTCAATTAAAAATATTTTATCTGCAAGGAAATAACCTCTGATTCCGTCAATTCCTGTTCACCTAAAAACCATTTAAAATCTGCTTTAGGTTCAGCCTCAACGTGAACTTCAAAAACACCTTTCGACCCTTCGGTAATACTTTTGTCGCCTAATTTTTCAGTGAAAATTGGGGAATGCTTTTTTTGTTCATCGACTATTACACTTAATTTTGCTTTTGTCTCATATCGACCAATTGAGTTTTGTGCTCTAAAACTGATAATTTTATTTGCAAAATAAAGCGAAATTTTTATATTTAGCCAGAACCAATCAACGTTTTATTTTATTAAACTCAATGACTTTCAGTATTTATGCAAAGCACTAACTAATATTTCAATATATAAACTATAGTAATTACTATTTTTGCTTGATTACCACGCATAATTTTAATTCGCCCTCCTGTACTTACAATATTATTTGAGGTGAAGAAGGGGTATTGTTTGTCTGGAGCAGTGTTTAAACATTTTAATCATTATCTCCAACAGTGAATGATTAAAGCTACCTGTTTAAACTTAATAAAATGTTCGCTATATTTCAGTTATTAATATCAAAGAAAAACTATGACGGCATTAATGTGTTTTTTTTTGATTCCCAATCGAAAAACTGGTAATACCTGCAAGTCACAGTTCCCGAATACTCAGATAAGCCGGTGATGGTCAGCTTATGATCTGTGATTGATAACGTTTCAATAAGCACACCATGCATCGTGTTATCCAGTTTCAAATTATCAATATACCAAGAAATTTCCGGGTTAGGATTTCCATGTACAGATGCTTCAAAAACAGCTTTTTCACCATATTTAACGGTCTGTAATATTTCTTAAGTTAATTTACTTTCACTTATTTATATGAAAAAGTTTTATAATTTCATTTAAATGACCCTTATAAAAATTTCTTTACTTTACTTTAAAATTTATTGTAAACAGTATATGTTTATGACTAAAATCCCTTTGTCTTTATATACTCAAAATTTAAGACTTTCCAATACATAGTCACAAACGATACCACTCACTATGGTTTTGGTTTTTTTTAATCAAGAGAGTGTGTTATTGTATATACCAATTATTACTGTTACCATTATACTATCTCATAAGAAGTTTAAATTATCACACGTTAGAGATAATTCATGACCTGGTCACTGATTTCCTTGAGAAAAGATGGAGCAGATCTTGATTGTTCTTGAGCTGCTTGTACCACTATTCGAGCTCTGCTTTCTGCTTGTCCATACTCGTTGATTGCCGAGCAAACAATTTCGCCATCATGCAAATCTATGCTAGTTCTTGTAATTTCAATGCGATGTAATCCATCACCTTTGTCGATAATCTCGATAAAATCTTTGCCAGATTCAGCCTAAAAATTATGTTACAACTTCTATCACTTCTACTAAATATTTTCAATAGCTTGGATACGAACAGTTTTTTAATTATAAAGATTCTTTGAATTTGATGAATTTTAGAAAATCAAAAATCGCTTCCAATTATGTAATAATTGCTGCGATAGTTTTTGATAAAAATAAAATTTTTATTTCTCAAATGAACATTAATGCTCAAATTACATGTATTCTTAACTTTCTTAACCAACATTTGTGGGATTTCAGCAATTCTTTAAAAAAATTTGAAACCTAAAAACCTAAAAACGGGGACCGAAGCACCACTTCCATAAAAGTCTTTAACAACAATTCGTCATAACAGCATGAAAAAAAGAGCATGTGCTAAGCTTTTGGATTAAATTTGCTTGTACAACTGTATTGAAATTATTAACGAAGCTTGCGGTACCAAAAAATATTTGCATGAAATTACCAAAAAAGAATACTGCAGAATGCAATTTAGATCAGTGCACTTTGCTCAGAATTATGAATAAATGGGAAAATGGTGAAGGGCAAAAAGAATGGAGCACCTGTTTTCCTTTAATCATAAAGGACAGTTTTGGATCTGGAAATCCACTGACTTCTACTTCAAATGCTATTAGTTGCTCTTCCTCAGAAATTTTATCCTCAAGTGAACGTAGGAAGTGTGGAGGAGCCGGTGGTACTCGAACTTTCAAATTACCGTCGCAAGCTTGCTCTCCAAGACGATTCGTCGCCTAAAATCATATCAAGCATTCAAATCCATAAATAAGCTTCGAAGTTTAAATTCCTAAATAAAAGCACTTTCGTATTATATGTGATAATTACATCTAATCTATTTGCTAAATAGTGCTTTAAGTTTGTTTTGCTAAAAATATGAAATTTTTAATAGCGTACTTACTTTACAAGTTACAATACCATTGAAATGTCTGGAAACATCAGCTATAGTCAAAATACAAATTCCATCTTCACAAATAAATTTAACTTTATCCGATTCAGACAAGGGAATTCCATTTATCAGCCATATTACCTGAAATTGATATTTGGTATTTCAGTTTGAGCTAAAAATAACTCATAATTCTTCATATGTTAATTTTTGACTAAATTCAAGTATTTGGACAATTTGTGTTTTTACACTGTCTTTTTATAAAAATGCAAAAATTTTTTCAAATTTCATGTCCTATTTTTTAATGCTAACACATTTGAATTGACCTCAGGGTTGGGGTCACCAGTGAGCACTGCTTTGAACTTAACAGTGTCTCCCTCATCGCATTCAACATCTTCAATTACAGCCTAAAATACAACACATTTAAATTCAATAGCATTTTTAAAGCTTTCATATCAAATATGCAAAAACAATTTTGATAAATAATTAAATGATTTGTATATTTTCAAGGGTATTGTTTTGCAAAAAATATCAATGATCATGTTTAGTCATTATCGAAAATTAATTTTTCAAGAATACTCTTAAATTATTAAACGACTATCATTTTCATTTGCGCTTTTTTTTACTTCTATTTGATTTTACATTCAAAATTTTCAACTATTCTAAGTACCTTTCATATATTTGCAATATATAAGCAAAAAGAACAACCTGAAATTCAGGAGCGACGTGGTTCTTGTCCGGATCCGGTTCAACCTTCAATTTAGCATTAGATTCAGCTGAACCGTACTCATTTTTAATTCTCACTGTATATACGCCAGTATCGTCCGGTTGCGCATCACGAATTTCTAATTTAGCATTTTGCCCATCGTATTCCAGTTTAAAATCGTGTGAAGGTCGAAGAGGCTGTTCATCTACTAACCATACCAATTCTGGTTCCGGCCATCCTTCTACCTGTACAAATGCAAATTTCAAAGCAACAGAGTTTAACCTGAATATATAAATAACGACTTTCAAAAATCAAAAAATTGATGCATAGATAGCGAAAGCTATACAAATATAATGCAATTTTATATCACATTTGATGAACTTTTATGCTTGAATTTCGAGCACTTCATAATGGTATCACGTAAAAAGATTTAATTCACGCAGGTTTTCTGGACACCATCGTGCAGTCAGTCATTTTGAAATATAAAAGCAAGAATACAATTGTTCATTTAAAATCAAGCAAGAATTTATTTACTTCACATTCGAACGACGCAATTTCGCCTTCCTTCACTTCTTGATCTTTCAGTGTTGTAACAAAGGTTGGTGGAGCAGATTCTTTCTCGACTTAAAAATTTTAAACGTTTTTTTTTGCGCAATTTTATTATTTTCAGTGAAGAATTTTTTTTGCAAAATTACAGCCAACTTAAAATAGTTTTACGGAATTTCTTTATCAACTTTTTCGCTTTTATAATGCTTATTGCTCAAATTATTCAATTAACAATTGTGTGTGATAATCATTTGACATTTTTGTTAGCCACAATATTTGAAATTAAGAACAAAGAATTAAACTTTAAGTTATCAAATCATTGATAGCAATCTGAAAATGATTATCTTATTTTCGTATTTTAAATATTGAGCATTCCATTTCTTTATTGTGCTCATTGTGTTTGAATTGTAATTTACAACAAGAAATTGAATCACTTTAAATTAAGTATTGAAGCTGTCAATATTACAATACTTTTTTCATCTTTTATAGTGAGAAATTTTGGTTATAATTTGTAGTTACTTTGTTGTGCACGCAAAATTATAATAAGTAGAAAATTCATGACTTGAAGATTTTTAAACCTTAATTTATTCCTCACTATTCAATACTTGATAAGTTTATGATACTGGAAAGTCTTTTTTTGAATACCTTTTAATACTCTGAAAAACGCGGATGTAGATGCTTGACCGTATTCATTAGTTGCCATACACGTATATCTTCCGGTATCTTCAACTTGTACTGGATCAATGGTCAGAGCAAAAAAACCATCTTCATCTGAGTAAAAAGTATGCCTTTCATCTTCGTGCAATAAAAGGTCATCTTTGTACCTGAAAATTGCAACCAATTTTTGACATTTTCTTTGATCAAAACTATTATTTAACATTCAAAATAAAAAAACACCAAATTTTTTGGTTAACTAAATCAGAATTCATTTTCATCTGTTCTATCATTGCTGTGATTTTTTTCGCTATTAAAGGAATTTTGATCTAAATCGAATTTTTAGGTGAAACGGAATTTAAATCTTCTGTTAACAATACTGCAACAATAAGTAATATTTCCTGTAAATTTGTGACATCTTCTGTCATTAAGATAGATAAAATTGTCTCAAAATAGTATTAATCAAATCTGAGAAGAAAATTTTGCGCTTGATAAATGCAATAACTTTTTAGTTTTGCGGAATATTTTTCGTATTTTTTCTATCAATATTCCGTAAATTCAATGTTTTATGAATTTAAGAGAGAACAAATAACCATGTGATTTCTGGCAATGGATAACCGGTAACTTTCAGGCACATTTTTGCAGAAGATTCTTGCAACGTTCGAAAACCATACTGTGTCCTAGTTACACGTGTTCCTTGCATATCAAGCGTAGTACCCGTTGTTGCTGGAAAGAACAAAATTAGTTATATACATCTCAGTTTTGAATAAAACACAAATGTCTTACTATTGTCAAAAACTAATATGACTGAAAATGATTTTTTTCGTGTTGAACCAAACCGTTAATCTTTAACTGATCTTTGCAAAATTTTTCCAACAATAAAGCCATAAAGCGTTACAAATCTTCAATTAAAATTTGTCACTTAGTGTGAGAAAAAAACAAACTCCAGTCAATTGAGCTGCTACCACCACTGTACAAACTTGTTGTTGATGCGGTTGGTGAGATGACTGGTGGTGATTTAATTTTCTTCCTTGGAGGGCCTTCTTCAGGACCTGAACTCTCAAATGATAAAAACTTGAAAATTAGTATAAGAATAAATAAATCGTTCAAGTTTCTACTTGGTGAGCTCAAAATATTTTGCACTAAGCGTTTAATATTATCAGCTTAATGTCATGATGTTTGTACTAAAATTCCGTTTAGCAACTTTTGCCATTTTGCACTAACAAAAGAAAACTTTGTTTCCATTTTTACTGAATTTACCAAAAAAACTTCTGGAAATTGTAGAATAATCGCTGAATTCAGAACGGACATCGCTGATAGTTGCATCAAATTCACTGATTGTTTCCGTTTCCAAATCATTTTCTGATACTTGAAAAAGTATTCTATTTGATTTTAAAAAGCAATATAAAAACTTAAATACTTACACCATGATGGATCCACCAATTCTAGACCACCTTCCTCTGTATCAGTTAATTCAATTATGTACAAACAGCGGAGTATCATTATTTCTTGAATTTTTTTTTGAAGGAAAATAAACTTTATATGGAGCTCTTGTATTTAGTACTCAAAGTTATAATATCATTCAAATTAACCAGCAAATCTCATGATTTTTTCAGAAAAAATTCAGATTTGCCACAAGGCTTCAAAAAAGTGAATAAATAAAACAGATGAATAAATCAATAAATTTTCAGAAATTGAGATGAATACGAACTGGGAACTATTATAAATTTAAATCACTATATTATTCATCACCGCTTTATTTGTTTGTAGATAACCGTCGTTCGAGTAATATGAAAATAGATGAATAGGAATAGAAATGACAAAGGCTCGCAAGAATCTGCCGATCGGAATTTAAGCTAAGAAGTACTTAGTATTGAGTAAGTAAGTAAGTAGTCTAGAAATAAAGAAAAGATGAAGAAAAATTTGGGAGTTTTCGAAATTATATGCTAGCTAATTTGTTTAGAGCAGAAAGATCTTCAGACAGGTATGAAAAGGACGAATAAGAATAGATGAATGAATGAGTGAATGAACGAATGATTGATTTATTGGATTGATCGGATTAGAATGAGCTGAATTCAATAGATATATGGATGAATAGATTGATAGATAGATAAATAGACAGTTGAACAGATTAAAATGTTCGAGTATTTGCTAACTAAGCCAGCTAGCTAGTTAAGTATACTTTGCCTTTCAACTCAACTATGTTACATTCAAGCAATTCGCGTTTTTCAAGTCAAGCTATGAGTGCTCTAACTATAAGCTCTAGCTCTAGTTTCAGTTCATGTATTCTAAAATACAATCTAAAGCTCTTTTTAACTTTTCTACCAATAGATGCTAGTAAGAAATGAATGCTTTAGAGAAAAAGAAAAATAATATTACAACTTTAGACTGCTGTCAAAAGATGAGTTCATCTTCAACAAGAACAACATCTATGAGCGGTTGGTTGAAGTAAGTTGAGAAGCAGCAAAGCGATTGCAATTTGTTAAGAACAGATTATCATACTAAAGATAAAAGATAGTAGTTATTTATTGCAATTTGATTTCGATTAGTTTGTTAGTTAGATAGTAGGATTGAGATTCATAGTGATTTTAGCATTTTGATTTTCTTTCAATACATTATGTTTTATGACGAATATCTTCATTGATTCTCAAAGTATTTTTAAAAAATTCAAAATTTTAGATGAATGAATGCTGATTGATTTGCTTGAGTAATGTCAACTGAACTAGATTATTCTTTTGTAGACTGTTTTTTTGCTAAAAGTTTTGCTATATTCATGGCGATGTAAGACTGTTACAAAAAACTACGTCGTTAGGGACATTTTTTACTCGACATTTGTTTACTCCCTGGAACTGAAAGAAAAACATACTTGTACACTGCTTTGCTTTGCTTATATCTTTTAACCAAGCCTGCTGAACAAATTCCATAGAGTGAATGTCTTTTGACCTAATTCGGAATTCTGGTAGTTCTGATTCTGATTCCATAGGCTTCAGTTCTAACGCATTCGGCTCTATTTCGCTACTTTCTACCGTGTATTTATCTAACTAAAAAATTAAAGGATTATTACTTATGTGGTTAGTCAATAATTCACTTTAATTTTTTGCTTTTTTGCCTGCATCTTAAATGAATAAATAAATAAATAAATAAATAATTATATATATATATATATATATATATATATATA